TTAAACCTTATCAAAGAAGGTAAGATTAGTTTAACCCTTAACCGGAAAGGTGCCGTCTGTGAGACTGCGGCGTTTCTATACCTGAGCGTATCTTTTTTTATTGCACCTCTAACAGACGTAAAAACCCATCTAATCCATAAGCTATTAGTGACCATCGCCCACCCCCATTCACACGAGTCTAGCCAAAACGTGCCTTTAAATATGGACCAATTTTAGTTTGCTGCAGTCTGTCAGACGGCACGTTTCCGTTCCCGTTTGCTATTTGTGTTGCATAGGTGCGTTTGCGAGTATGGCGGGACCTTCTAAACGTGTACGATACGATGATCCGGAGTTCGAAGAAACCGTTCTAAAATGGTTTGAGGATGAAGGAAGTGACTTTAGTGATATAGACAGTGCCTCAGAAGACGAATACATGGAATCAGATCATACAAGTGATAGTGAGTTATCAGAAGACGGAGCCGAAGGAAATGAAGAGGATTTACCAGCTCAGAATTATTTCTATGGAAAAAATCGTCATAGGTGGAATATTTCGGAAGTTGTACCATCATCACGTACAAGGAAGCACAATATAGTCATTAAAGTACCAACTCTAAGAGGAAAAGCTCATGAATATGGAGAAGAAGCAGCTCCGTTGACGGTTTGGCAGCTTTTGTTCACTGACGACATGTTGGTACATATCGTTAAGTGGACCAATCACAAGCTCAAAGAAATGCGAAAGAGATACAAAAATCAAACCAGCAACCTAAACGACACTGATTTAGTCGAAATAAAGGCACTATTGGGTCTCTTAGTATATACATCGGTGTTCAACAGCAACCACGAGAACATTGAAACACTTTTTGCCACCGATGGCTCTGGTAGAGATATATTCAGAGCTGTCATGAACATAAAACGATTTGGTATTCTCCTGTCAGCCTTAAGGTTTGATAACCCAGATGACAGGAATGAAAGAAAGAAGCTAGATCCAGTAGCACCAATATCTTTCATTTTTAATAGTTTTATAAAGAACTGTCAAGATGTGTACGGAGTTGGCCAGTCTGTCACTGTCGATGAAATGCTCGTGAGTTTCAGAGGAAGATGTCGATTTAAAATGTATATGCCTGCGAAACCTTGCAAATATGGCATAAAAATTATGGCATTGACGGATGCAAGGAATAGCTACCTCTATAACGCATATATATACTGCGGTAAAGATTCCGATAGTTTCGAACTTCCTGAGGAACACAAGCGGTATTCCAAACCCACACAATCAGTTCTACGTCTCGCGAAGCCTCTGTTTGGAACTAATCGCAACATTACAGCGGACAACTGGTTTACGTCAATAGAATTAATGGATGTCCTATTGAAGAACAAACTGACCTATGTGGGTACAATGAAGAAAAATAAAAGAGAAATTCCTCCGGCATTTTTACCCAACAAATCAAGAGAAGTCGGATCAACAATGTACGGATTTCGAGAAGATTCCACTATTGTGTCTCATGTAAGCAAAAAAAATAAAGCCACAATACTCATATCTTCTATGCACCACAGAAAATATTGTGATCCGGAAACACAGAAACCGGAAATAATAGCCTATTACAATGCTAATAAAGGTGGAGTTGATTCTCTTGATGAAAAATGTTCGAAGAGTACCTCAAGTCGCCGTTCGCGTAGGTGGCCACTGGTTATTTTCTACCGACTATTGGATATATCGGTAGTGAACTCGTATATTTTACACCAGTGCTATAAGAAAAATGAATTGCAGAAGGAAAAATCGGTATTTGCTAAGATGTTGGCCGCTAACCTGGTCCGTGAGCATATGGAAAAGCGACTAGAGAGTCCCCGTTTACCTCGGGATTTGCGACTTACGATAAATCGCATCCTTGGCAAATGTGAACATCCAGCAACAGAAGCTGAAAATTTGGTTTTGGAAAAAAGGAAAGCCTGCTTTTTATGTCACCGAACGACCCATCGGATGACCAAATTTTTGTGTGTACAATGTAGGAAGCCTGTATGTCTTCAATGCTCCAAACCCAAATGTATTAGCTGCATAAATATAGGCAATGTTTGAGACTTGCAGTGAATTTTGATTGTGTTCTTTTTGTATTTATTGACTATAATATACTTTCCTTGTTTATTACTTAACTAGAAAATAGAAAAATATTGAGACTTTTCCATAGTTTTAATTTAGTTTCTGAATGTTGCAACAACAGCGTTATTTTTGTATGGTTTTAGCATAGTTAATAAAAATGTTTCTTTTATGTTCTTGTATCATTTTGAAATGAGCATTTTACGTATTAAACACATAAAATAAACATCCAGTATCAGTTTCAGCGAAGTTATTGCTTGCTTTTCGCCTTACTCTAATTTTTTGAACATCTTGAAGTTCGCAGTCTGAGAGACGGCATGTTTCCTTTTGTGTTCCAAAAATTCACGTTTCCTGTTAAGGGTTAAGAAAGGCATCAAAATGCTTTAAAATCGACAAATCCACGTTAAGCAGGCGGTTCCATGGAAAGCACAATAAAATACAAGGCCGAAAAACCGATCTTACACCCGAAATGGAGCATGACCTGGCGGAAAAAATTAGAATTTTGGCAAAATGGGGTTTTGGTATGACAAAACAAGAAATCTTAGAAACGGTCCAATCATTTGTAATTAAGAATAATATTACAACTCGATTTAAAAACGGCAAACTTGGACATGACTGGTTTCGTGCTTTTTGTAAAAGGCAAAACCTAAGCCAAGGGAAGATGGAGCAATTAGAGCTATGTAGACGAAATGCAACCAGCGATCCATTTTTGGTTTATGGATTCTACGACCGTGTACAAGAAACCATCAATAAACCAAACTTAAATATTTCACCTGACCTTATCTGGAACATAGATGAAACCAGTTTCTCTTCCGATCCTTCTCGTATTAAGGGTGTGGCTGGAAAGGGACAAAAAGTGCATAAGAATATAGAAGGCTCAGGAAAAGGAAACACCTCTGTCATGGCATGCATTTCAGCTGCCGGTAGATTACCATTGATTATTTTTCATGGACTCAACTTATGGTCTAGCTGGAAGGGACAACATGACATACCAAATACTTTATATGCATGCTTGGAAAAAATATTTTTCTGCAATGGTTCATAAAATTTTGTGAGATAGCACCTGAAAGATCTTTACTTATAATTCTGGATGGTCACATTACCCATTTGGACAAAACTATAATTGAACGGGCAATCGCAGAAAACATAACTTTAATGAAACTTCCATCACACACAACGGATCTTTTACAGACAGATGCTGCTTGGACCACTCCGTTGGAATGAAAAATTAATTAACTGGCAACGTGAAAATCAAAGAAAAATAACGAAATCGGAATTTGTTGACTTGTTATGTGAATTATGGAGCGAGGGAATAAATAAGGAAAGAATAATTTCTTCCTTTTCTAGTACTGGAGTCTTTCCCTGTGATAGAACAAAACACCCCATGGATCGTTTAGATCCCGAGAAACTGAAAAGGTATAATGCAGGAAGTACAGTTGACCAACTAGAAATTTCAGAGGAACAATATTTTTCCCAGCAGTCCCTTAACTGTACAAATACAACTTTGCCTCAGTCTCAAAGTGTTATCAATAACACTGCAGAAAACAATTCACTCTCCCCGTCAGATTTTTTATCCATTGTACCTCCAGCCGTACCTAGCACAACCGATGGTAGTGTCGACATTGATCAAGGTCCTATCTCTTTCGAGTCACTTCTACTCGCGAAGGTTAAAAGAACAACTCCAAATAGGCAAAATAGGCGCAAAATAGATGGGTCTGCTAAAATATTAACTAGTTCTGAATACATGCAAGAAATTATTTCTAAAACGGAAAAAGGAAAGGCACATAAGAAAAAAGCCATCAAAAAGAAGAATGAAGTATTAAGTGACAGTGAAGACGAGGAGATTGGAGAAATCTATGAAGATGAAAGTGACCCGGAAAATTTGACATAAAAAATATTGTGGAGAGTGAAATTGAGCCCGATCTAGATCTAGATACATCCGCTATTAAGAAAGACGACTACGTACTCTTACAGTTTCCCACGAAAAAGAAAATTGTATATTACGTTGCTAATGTTGAATCGATAGATAATAATGGTTCTCCTGTAGTATCTTATCTTCGGCGTAAGGGCAACTCATTTGTGTACCCTTCCAATTCAGAAACGTTCGAGGTAGATCCTATAGACGTAGTAATGAAGCTTCCTAATCCGACTTCCCATGGCGAGACAGAGCGCATGAAGAAGTCACTAATATTTGAAATAGATCTTTCTTCTTACAATATTCAATAAGCCTTAAATTTTTGTTAATCTACATTTCTATTAGGATAATATTTCGTTTACTACCTGATTTTCTGTGTTTCATAAAAAAATAGGTATTTTTTAATATAGATTTTGTATCATTTTTGTACCATAGCGTCTCACTTTTCTCTAAATCCAATTTTATTGACTTGAATGTTTTTTAAATACATATGTCTCAGTTTTGCCCATAGCCTGTCTCATAATTGTACCTTACGAGAGGTAAAAAATGAGACATAAAAATATTATTTTTTCAAAAAAGTTGATATTTTATTGACAAATTAACCAACTAAATAGGTTCTATATATATTTCTGCACATAAACATATTTTTCTATTTTTATTGTATTGTCATTTACGAGTCAAAAAATCAAAAGTGTTAAATAATGTCTCATAATTGCCCCACTTGCCCCCCATATAGTTGCTTAAGCCAAATGACTTCTTGTGACTCCGTTTCTAAAAAGAATGAGCCGACATACGTGTTTCTGTATAGTAAAGCAATACTTACCTTGCTTTTAGAGCATTCTTTCGATGTCTTTTTGATAGTGGAGGGCGGGCCTTAGAGATCTTAGTCACAAAACAGAGCAACAACAACAATCTTATAACAATAACAATAATCACAGATACAACACTTCGGCACTCGAGGAATAAATCGAACGGGTGGCAACACGGTCAATAATTAGCATGCCGAACAAGGCACCTGTCTTATAACTAGTCACTTATCACTCGCTGGAGGCGGGGTCAGCGGGAGGTGTGGTTTTGCTACGATTAATATCCAATTACCTCGACGACTCAGAGACCGTTTGAAATAGAAAGCTTTTTTTTGTGGCTTGTTCTACAACTTCTCTATGTTCAGTATGAACAATATCTGAAAAATTGTTTTTCTCCGATAAGAAAAAAATATTTTTGCAAAAGGAAAAACGTAATCTATCAAATGAACCATATGCGACCTTCCTTTATCCATTTGTAATGCAATCACGAAATCTCATGTCAGTGCAACTATTTGTTCTGAAGCTATCGCGGCAGAAATATTGACAAAAAAAGTTGATATTTTGAGAAAAAAAAACAAGAGATTATAACAAATCAGTCATTTCTGTGCGACCTTAAAGTTGATGGCATTTATGCCAACAGATGAATCAATAATTATGAATTATGAGATAAATTTGAAATACATAGTTTAGAGCAGAGAAGATACCTTACAGCAGCGTTGTTTTGATTCAAATTGATGCATGGATATGTTGAATGTTCTAGGGCAAGTTGGTCTTGCTATGCCTACATATTATAATGCGACATTTAAGCTACCTAGAGCTGAGACTGGGACCGCGGTTGGCCGCGTGGGTCAGAGTGTCGTGCTACTGATCAGCCGGCCGGCCGGGTCGCGAGTTCGAATCTCGCCTTCGCCATGGATGTTGTGACGTCGTGTGTTTGTACATAATTAGATATATTCTATATACAACCTAGTTTCTGGCTGCATGGCTTAGTCCTAAAGCCAAAAAAAAAAAAAAAAAATAGAGCTGAGACTAATATGTTATTTTAGCCATCAGTCTATGTTATGCGTCATAAATTAAACTGTATCTCCAGCGGCTGTGATATATTTTCCTGTTCAAGGAATGAGTTTTTCAGAATAGCTAAGAGGTTATGGACCTATTTTTGAATGCTTTGTTTTGGGGTGGTTATCTGCATCTCTGTTGAGGGAATTACTGTTATAATACAGGGTGTCCGCAAAGTTGGGGTTTTCCTTTACACGACGTGTAGATCTTGAAAACATAAGCAATTTTTCTTAGTACCATATACACCAATTTCTTAAGGGAACCGAGATAAAGGGCTCTGCAACATCAAAAATATCTGAATACCGTCCTGTAGCCGCCACCCGCCGCGATGTCCCACACTGGTACCGGCTACTAGCTGAACCCGACGACAGAACTGGGTCGGGGGTCGGAGTCAGTGTGTCAGGTCAGTATGCAACCTTCAACCGACGGTAAAGGGTCACGCGTATAGAGGTAACGAACCCGTATAATCGATTGCGTTTCAAAAAAAATAATAATAATGGCACACTCATACACCAATAATGAACTCGTTGATATGTTGTTAATTTATGGCGAATGTCTTCAAAATGATACAGAATCGTCGCGAGTGTATGCAGATCGTTTCCCTAGACGACATCATCCAAGGCCCCGCAGATTTGTGTACCTGGTCCAGAGAGTCAGGGATACGGGCCATTTGGAGGAATTTCGAGGTGGGCACAGTGGGAGGCCTAGACAACCACGAATGGTGCAAGTTGAGGAAGAACTACTGAATCGCGTAGACGAGAATCCCTCAACAAGCACTAGAGACGTGGCTAGAGAAGTGCAAGTATCAAAAACTAAAGTGTGGCAAACGTCCAACGTGTACAAGCCCTTCAACCTGACGATTTTCCAGCAAGAGTGCGGTTTTGTGAGTGGTTGTTGCATCAACATGACAATAATCCGGACTTTTTGAAGTGCATATTGGTGACAGACGAATCTACGTTCACGCGTAATGGGGTGAATAACTTTCGATTTCAGGCAGAGACGTACTTAGCCCTTCTCGTCAACTGGAGAGTGAGTACTTTTTCCTTTATTTTTTTTTTACTTGGTCGCCCTCGTTTCACTACACATTACCTTTGTTATTTCAAGGGTAGTTGTTTCTGAAAAGGAAAACCCCAACTTTGCGGACACCCTGTATATTATGATTATCCCTTCAGTTATTTGCATTATATTATCCTATTAAACCATAATAGCACACACGGGCATATAATTTAATTGATATATTATCCTGTAAATGGGAAACCTTTGGATAATAAAGCCATTAATATTATAATTATTATTATAGTCCGACTATCTATGAGAAATTAACCTTTTCAGAAGTAGCTTTCTAAATATTGTGGAGAGGAAAACTAAAGTTGTGATATATCTCATAGATGATGCTACAATATCTCATTTCCATTAACCTTTAACTACACTCGTTGGTGTATTTCATACACCACGCGCAGCAAAAATGTTATTGTTTTCTCTAAATCGGCGGCACTGACAACACCGCGCAATCTAACCTATGCTTACTCTTCCCTGAATACCCACCAACAGTTGTTGGTCAATAGTCGAACAGAGGTTAATATTTCATTGATTTAAGGCAAGGAAACCACTTGGTGCACAGAATACACCGCGCGTGTAAGAATGTAAGTATGTTTGAATAATTTTTAATTTGTTGTTTTGTTACTAAATATGTGATTTTATAGGATTTTACTCATTTCAATTTATTGATAATAAGGTATAATTTTCTGTTTTAGGGAACGCGTCAATATCAAGGATCCTAACCGTCTTACAGAAGAAGAGCTTCAGACCGTAGCACAAGTTATTTGGGACGATGATTCGGAAGAAGAAGAAGGAGGTAAAGCAGATACATTGGAGGAGGAACTCATTGACCAAAGCGACCACAATTCGGCTTCTGAACAAGAGAGCGATAGCGAAGAGACAAACGTTTCCGATAGTGATGAAGAGGCTGAGAGAGGCGAAGCATATTTTGTGGCGAAGGATAAGGTAACACGATGGAGTAAATTCCCACTTGTGAGTAAATTCAGCAAAAGTAGTAAGAAGAATATTGTAAAAATATTTCTTGGACCCAAACAATGTGCTAGAAATATTGCTGATGAAAGGAGTGCATTTGAAACATTTTTTACTGAAGATATCATTGAAATTATTCTTGAATATTCTAATACAGAGATTGAAAAAATGCGAGTGAACTTTGATAGACCCAGAGATGCAAAAAATATTTCGAAGACTGAATTAATGGCATTTATTGGATTATTATATTTAGCTGGACTAAAAAAAGAAAACCATACTCATTTCTTGTAGTTGTGGACAACAGATGGGACGGGATGTGAAATATTTAGAGCTACTATGGGCTGCAACAGATTTTTGTTTATCCTTAGCGCTCTTCGATTTGACAGCAAGGCCACGAGAACCGAAAGAAAAAAAATTGATAGACTTGCAGCAATTAGATCTATTTTTGAACGTTTTATCAAAAATTGCGAAAATAACTATTGTATTGGCGAACAAATGACAATCGATGAAATGCTAATCCCTTTTCGTGGCAGATGCAGTTTCATCCAGTATATCCCAAACAAGCCCGCCAAATATGGCATAAAAGCATTTGTTTTATGTGATTCTAAGACATTTTATGTCACTAACATGGAGATATATTGCGGCACGCAACCTGAGGGGCCCTACAAAAAATCAAATAAGCCAACGGATATAACACATCGCTTAGTTGAACAATGGAAAGGAAAAAACAGAAACTTGACATGCGACAATTGGTATACAAGTTATCCACTGGCAAAAGAGCTGCTTGACCAGAAGGTAACATTAGTAGAAACAATAAAAAACAAAAGAGAGCTTCCACCAGAGTTTCTCCCGGATAAAAAGAGGCAGGAAGGATCATCGACATTTGGATTTCAAAAAGACATATCCATTGTATCATTTGTTCCAAAAAAAGGTAGAGCAGTAATTTTGTTATCATCAATGCATAGCGATTCATCAGTAGATTTGGAGACGAATAAACCACAAGTCATTTTAGATTATAATTCTTACAAGGGTGGAGTAGATACGGTCGATAAAATGTGCAGCACATATTCTGTATCTAGAAGAACTAGACGGTGGCCATTAGTAATATTTTTTCAGATGCTAAACGTTACACGAATAAATAGTCAAATACTTTACAATGCGAATCATATCAATGCTCCACACAAATACAGACGGCAGTATCTAAAGGCGTTATCAATGTCCCTAATTAAACCATACCTTGAGGAAAGAGCGGAGATAAAAAGTTTGCCATCTGACTTACAGATTTTCCTTGCTAAATTTAGAAAACCAATGGAGACGTCGAACGAAGAACCGCCATCAAAAATACGGAAAAGGTGCTTTTGTTGCGTGAGACAAAAAAACAGAGTTACAACAATGTCATGTAATACATGCAACAAGCCGGTCTGTAAAGAGCATGCTATCACTATTACAAATTGTAAAACATGCAATAATGAACACAAAAATTCTGAAAGTGAATAGTACGATTAATTCAATTACTTTAAAATATTTTTCTTTTGTGTATTCTTATGTTTCCGATATATAATAATTTTATATTCATGCATAAAAAACTAATCAAATTTGAAATTTTTATGTTTGTATCCCATTTTATCTTGTTTGCGTTGTTACATTCGATTTGATTTAATTTTGCCACTTAGATTTCATTTTGAAAATAAAATAATGAATACTTTAAACCGTTTTTTTATTACAATTTCCTTCGAAGGTTAGTATTCAACATTGGTGTACAAAATACACCAAGCGTGTACTTATGGTATATTTTAATCCGCGTGTAGTTAAAGGTTAAAGAAGAATATTTTACTAGCTGGTAAAGATAATAATAATAAAGGAGCGACTACTAAATGAAAGCTTCAGCGTAAAAGAAAAACATGACTTGATTGTTCAAAACATGAACGAAAATGAAAGAATTATGAAAAGTCCAAACGGGATAGAGAAAAATATAGATCCTATAGAAAAGAAAATGAAACAATCATCGAACTGAAAGGAAAAGTAATACATTACTGTAAAAATCTTCAAATTTAATTAAAATAATAGAGAGTAAAAAAATCTGTGGTAGAAAATATGCTTTGATCAGATGCTGTAAGAAATAAATTATAGTGTAAAAAACACGCTTTAATAATAATGATTCAAGTATAGGCGAGTTTGTGCTAGTGCAATAAAAAGTCAAAAAATCAAGTATGACTAATAAATTTGGAATAAGAACAATACAAAAATTAAGATATTCAGAAAAAAAGCAATCAAAGTATAGCTTGATATTAAATGTTATTTTTTAGTTACTATTTACAAAATTATGATAGTTTATAGTTAACTGCTTCCCACGTTTTTTTTACTATAATTGATATTTTTGTTATCTTAATGTTTATATTGATCTTATACCAAATTAGTCATACTTGTTTGTTGGACTTGCTATTCCAATAACACAAACTCTCCTATACTTGAACATTATTTTCTACTTCTTATTCGATTTGCTATTAAAGCGTTTTTTTTTTGTTTTTTTTTTAACAATTCACGGTGGAACAACCAATATTGTGGCATAGTAAGGAGAAGAGGCGGGTGGAATATGGCTTCGAACCAGATCATGTCATGGTTCTAGGAAACAATCCGTCTTTGGTGCATCTCTAATGCCTACTTCCAATTCCGTAATTTCATGTGGAATATATTAATAAATGCCTAAAGCTACCCAGTTAAAACTAAATGAGTTGAAGATCCTAGCGCCATCTATCAGACAGTGGACTGCTAATTTCATTTTTGTGTTCTGATACTGCATCATAGATGGCGCTACTATCTTCAAGGTCATTTTTTTGACGCCGAAACAGCACACGGTTAGCTATCTTCAGGTAGAATACGTTAGTCAATCCTTGTATAGAAAATGGTGGAAAGACATCTCATCAGTTGCTGGTCAAGATCCAATACCAAGCCCTTTTTGTGCTAAAAGAAGTCTTTTTGGTTTACCAAATCACATACTGATTGATGATTAAATGATAATTCAAATATGTTTAGATACAATTTGAAAAGTTTAATCCTGCGATAAATCTAATCAAACTGTACAATGTTTTAGTCATCCCACTTCTGGAGATTTGCGACGATTCCAAATGTAAAATGATGAGTCATCCATAATTGAAAAAATAATTTCAAGAAGTCATATGCATAACCCAATGTGGTACAAAGCGATGAAATCGTTCGTAATAATATATGAAAATATATCTCACCTTACCTCGTAAATAAAATAAAAACTTTAAGGTCTTAACAATACAACTTTGGTAACTTACTTAAATTATATACCAGGACGTAAGCACAGTGCAAAAATCAGTTTAAAGTTGGAACATACATTTAGAACGCAATTTGTTTTCTTGATTTTATACCCTGTTTGGGCCATCAGACTATCAACTTCCAACTGATTTTCTTCAGTTTTGGAGCACTGTAGTTGCTTAATTCCTGATAAACTAACAGAAATTGCAGCACTTGGAGGCGGCCGTGCCCAGATGCACATGCATCGCACAAATCTCAGACAGTTCGTTACACACACTGTTCAGGTCCAAAATGGCGGCCGCTGCTGAAGCAGAATGGCGGCGTTCCGTCTCGTTCTGGTTAATATCGCCGCCCCCGTCGGTGCGGATCACGCTTACTGCTCTTGGTCTTCCGTTTCCATGTTGTAGAAGGTTCGAGTTTAGGATGGAGTCTTTGGAAAGCGAGCTACACGATTGGGCTCTGTATAGCCCGCCTCCAGTACGGTTGAAAAGGCTCGGCAGGGGGATGCAGATCTTCTTGTGCATGTGGAAGTATTTACCTTTGAACAATTTGAGAAAAACAATACTAACACTGGAAAATGCAGTCGATATCAATCAAAGATATATAATTCCAGCCTCCAACAGTACGAATAATGGCAATAATGCCATTGGCCTGCCGCCTCCATGTTGTAGTAAGTTTAAGTTCAAAACGAGCTCTATGAAACGGGAGCTTCGAACGCCAGAGAAAAAATAATAATACCAAGTAAATATTAAGCAATATATAAAGATAAAACTGCCGTCTCCATCAATACGGATAATAATATACCGCCTCGATGTTGTAGAAGATTTGAATTCAGGATGAAGTCTTTGGAATGCGAGCTGCAGGATTGGGCTCTGTATAGCCCACCCCCAATACGGTTGAATAGGCTCGGCAGGGTTATATTATATCTTCTTGTCCACATGGAAGTATTTGCCTTTGAACAATTGGATAAAAATGATACTAACACTGGAAAATGCAGTATACATCAAGAAAAGCTATATAAAGATAAAATTCCCGCCTCCGACGGTACGAATCATGCTGAATACTTTTGATTAGCAGTCTCCGTGTTGAAGTAAGTTTGAGTTCAAAATGACTATGGAAAGAGAGCTCAAATAGCAGAGAAACAATAATAATACCAGGTAAATATCAAGCCATATGGAATGATAAACACAGCATGTATTTATCTAGAGGAATTAATGGAAGCTAATGTACTGAAGTCTCTCTATGCTTCAAGATAAACTTAAGTGGCGTTTTCCTAGCGTCGGGATATATTCCGCAGCGGCTTACCGAATTCGACCGACGGCGTGACGCTACCACTCGATCATAGGCAAAACACGCGAGCGTTTTCCTAGACGCGGGAACGGACTGTCGGTCGGCGGGATTGTCCCGCGTGCACCGAGAGCAGTCTAGCCCGCTCCACGCTGCGGCATGCATGCATGATTTCGCTTATTTTGATTTGGTATTGCTAGCATTATGACTTTTACGGCTTCTTATGACAAACAATTAATTAACTACGTGGCAGATAAAGAAAACCTATGGAACCTTGGCAGTCCAGAATACAAAAACGTCAGGAAAAGAAATTTGATGTGGATGGAAATAGGGAACATATTGAATAAGACAAGTAAATATTATTTGTCATTTATTGTACGTGTGCTATGTAATAACAAAAGGGATAAATAATTATCATTGTATTCTGTGAAATCGAGAAAAATACTCGTTGAATCGGGATCTCACCTGGAAGCCTTCCGATCTTGCGAAGCCCCCTTCGCCAGCCATGTTACTCGTCGGTGATTCGAAATTATGTTCTCGTATATGAGCAGGATAGTGAAGAGTTGATGGGACGCTGCCTTATTGTGTAAGCAACAACACACTATTATCAATAAGTCTACAGTTTTAGGTTTTATGTTGATAGGTGTAAAGAATATTCTCAAAGTAGAGCTCATTATCCCAAATGCTTTCTCAGTAACTCTTTGTGTTTTGCACAAGTGATAATTAAGACTATTTTTGTCCCCATCCTGTATAGCCTGTCGCTTGCAGTATGGATTCATCAAATGCTCGTGTAATTTGAAAGCTTCATCGCCTAGTAAAACATGGGGCAATAAAATATCAGATTGTGGCAATAGTTTTGGTGGGGGAAAAATTGATCTGTTTTCTACTATTTGGTCCATTTTTGATTTTTCGAAAATTCCAGCATGTCCTTTACCATAGGAACCAACATCCACAATGAGAAACCGATATTTGGCATCTACTATTGCTAAGAGACCAATAGAACAGTAACCTTGGTAATTAAAAGAACAAAGATCTCGAGTTGTCGGGTGATACAATTCTCACGTATTTTCCATCAATTGCTCCAACTGCGTCAGGAAATTTCCATAGGTCCAAAAACTCCTTTGATTTTTCTCTCCAATTAATGTCGTCGGGAGGGGGTAGAAAAATAGGAACTAATGTTTCTTTGAGCGCCTTCAGCACAAGGGGAATGAAAATAGATGTTGAACACGCTGACATGCGATGAGAAAACTGCAATGAACGGAAGGATTCTACAGTTGCAAGATACCTGAAACAATTCAAAGACGTCGAATAAAAAATGTACAGAAAAAGCATTTGCTATACTTTATTCAGGTGATCCATGGTGTCACATGAGACTAATGAATCAAACATTTATGTTTCAGAAGAATAATGCAAACAACGATGGAGGAACATTGCGGACCATTACAGAAAAAAAAGAAGCCAGGTACAACTGGTTCCGCGGTCGGGATCGGATCGCATTTTTAGACACAGTCCACGATGAAAGAGAAGCAACCACGAACATTGTTTCTGAACCAGGACCATCATAAAACTCCGAAGAGACTGCTGCAATAGCGAATAATGGCTCATTTACAAATAATGATAATGACGGCATCATGGTTCCTGCCTTCCCACCTTCGTCATCTGTGGCCAGCACTTCTGTTACCCCAGCCCCTGCCTCCAACCATGATACTGCTTCAGGTCCCGGATAAGACCATTCAACAAGCCTCCGCCGAAGAAAATGAAACGAAAAGACCAGGCTGTACCCGAATTACTCAAGGCGAGACAGGAGGACCGAGAGCAATTTGCGCACATGTTCGGTAAAATCAGTGAAGTTGAAGACGAAACTGATTTACTTTTTAAATCAATCCGTTTGACGGTGAAGCGTTTGAATTAAGATGTAGCGAATGAGTCAAAAACTAAAATATGCTCACTTGTAATGAAATATCAGTCAATAAATAGGCATCGCCAAGATTTACAATCGACCTCATCATTAGGTGCTTCTTATTGCTCCACACCAGTAGCAGAACCAGATGGATCCGATGAGGTTCTGATTTCAAATGCCCTGGGATTCAGAATGGACCAGTTTTAAAATAAAATTGAGAACCTCTCAGTGTACAAAAATATTTCAAATAAACACGTTCCTATTCAGGTAGTATATATATTTTTTTAAGATCACTTACCTCAAAGTAACAGCCAGTTTTTCTGCTGTTGTTATGGACTTTGATACTCGGTTGTACGCATGGACTTCCATTTTGTGTTCGATCAGAGATAACAAATAACTAAATTGTTCATGAGTAACTCTAAAGAATTCAAAAAAATATTAGCTTATTAACACGTTGAATGCTCCTTCTGCTTGTCTGCGTGGAAACATCTTGTGGATTTCATCTCGTTTCCCGTACTTGATGAGAGGATAATTTTCATCCTCTTCAAAATTTTTAAGAAAATACTTGTGATAGGCCACCAATATCTTAAGTTTCTGGGTACGAGATAGTCCACTCCGCGACATGATTCGGCTGCGATTGAACGCTGCTTGTAAAACACTCCTCGCTTCTGCACGACTAGACGGAATTGGTAGGCAGAATTCGGTAAGCCGTTACGGAATATATCCCGCCGCTAGGAAAACGCCTCTTTACGAATGGTAGAGATCAAGTACCTAGTTTTATTATTAAAGATTGTGCTCATGTTTTCGTCAAGCCGATGTTGATAATGTTCAACACTATATTGAAATCGGGAATTTTTCCTGATGTTTGAAGATAGCAAAGATGTATCCGGTCCTGAAAGATGGTGATGAATCTAATGTACTCAACTATAGAGCTATAAGCATTCTGAACATCTTTGAAAAGACTTTTGGAAGGGCCATTTACTCTTCTATCTTTGAGACGTTAAAAGTCATCACGGCATGGTTTCATCAAAGGTAGATCCACTGCCTCAAACTTAATGACAATTACGCAATATATAGCAGAATCGTTAGACAATAAACAAGGATTTCAGCAAGGCTTTTGATAAGTTAAACCATCATCTTCTTGTGGATAGCCTTAGTGACTCGTTAGTCGGACGCAATCTGTTTATTATAATGGTTATCGTTCAGCGAATTATACTGTTCCCTCAGGGTATCGCAAGATTTGAACCTACGTCCCTTGCTGTTTTTAGTCTTCATAAATAACCTACCCGCTTCACTAGAGTGTCACAGTCTATTTGCCGATGATATGAAAATCTACACCAAAATTACTAATCTGGAGAACTGTATTTCCCTTTAGGAGGATCTGGATACTATCACACAGTGGTGTGACAATAAATTTCTCTGCTTAAATATTTCCAAGTATGTATAAAGTGTGTTCATACTGTCGCAAAATGAACTCGATTATCTTTGATTATCCCATAAATAATGTGATTTTGGAGAGAATAATAGAGACTAAGGATCTTGGCGTAACATTTTACTGCAGATTGGACTGTTCTGTCTATGTATCACGCATCACTTCCGAAGCGACACGTATTCTGGGTTTCATAATGCGTAACTACCGATCTTTTTCCAACGAAGCAACATTAAAAACTCTTCTTATTTCGCTGAGTATGCTTCTATGATATGGAACCCTATTATAAAAATATTTTAGAAAATGTACAAAAAAATTTCTCATTGTGCTCGTAAAATTGATGGCGCATAACCAGAAAGGGGTTCTCTCAATTTGTTCTGCTGCGCCGTTTCGAGCTAGAGTCTCTACAACTAAGACGTTCCATTGCTGGTCTGTCATTCCTTCATAAGCTTTTGCACGATAGAGTGGATGCACCAGAACTTCTCCCGAGGTTGAATTTTTGTATCTCGCGGTTAAATACGAGAGGGACTCTAACTTTCTACTGCAATACCTCCCGTACCAACGTATTATTCTATTCTCCGCTACATTCTATATGCAATAATTAAAATTCCATAGCAGACAGTTCTGACATTAATTTTGATTGTATCAGTAAGATCTTGTCGAATTTCAGAGACTATTATAATAGCAAATTCTGTTTTTTATGTTTGTTTTATGTATATACACTATAAGTTATCTCTACTTATTTATTATATTACCCTGTAATTGGAATAGTCTGTTGGACAATTATATGTAAATGAATAAATAGATAAAACTGCTGCCTCAATCAGTACGGATAATTACAGCACTTGAAATACCGCCTCGATATTGAGCAGACTCGGCAAGGGATGCAGATTTTCTTGTGCATGAAGAAGTATTTACCTTCGGAATGCAACGGAAAACCAAGAACCACGCTAGAAATATAGTAACAATCAAGCAAAGTTAGAAAATGGTAAAAATGCCCCCGCCGCCGGTGCGGATCACGTTGACTATCCTTGGCCTGTCTCCACAGAGTTGTAATATGTTTGAACTCAAAAATGGGGTTTTAGAAAGCTGCATGAAATACAGTATCTAATATAAAAAACTGAGAGATTCAAAGAAAAAATATATAATATATAGAGCAATATGCTATAATATTCGAAACATCATCGTATGGATTTTGATATGCTGTGGTACAAAAAAATGACGCCAACTTCATTAAAAATTACCCATTACCTGTTACTGCCCCATAATTTTTTACAGTTGTGGACAGTTGGAAACAGACAAGCCCCAAGGTTAACAGGCTTTGCTTGGAAGGAAAGTTTTGAATTGGAAACGGTACGATTGGCAGGACTACTTACTCAGTACTCTGATTTTCCTTATTCCACACTTTTCAATCTTGTTGCAATTATCCGCCTTGTCAAAATTACCCTTATATGGTGCGACAGTGTCCTTTCTCGACACCCGCAGCTTTTCATTGAGCTTCAGTGCATTCTCCTGGTCCTGGTGCTTCCTCGAAGTCCTGTTCAAGCCCTGCAGTATCTTCGAACCGACGCTTTTCACCTTCGGAGGGACGCTGAACACTGTCGTCGACACTACGACGGTCTGGGGGTCTTCTTGTACTTCGGTGATTCGGTTCAGGGATTGGCTTTCACGTAATCGGGTCTTGCCGGATTTTTTCCGGCATACCTGAGGAAAAGTATGAATCAAAATAGGCCACTGAAATCATTCCAAATTTCGTAGAATAAATTAGTATTTCTTACAGTATTTGGCTTAGCACAACGATGAAAACACTATCGGCTATGACGTCATACAAATTGTAAATATTTCTAAAAAGTTATCGTTACCTCGTTTCACTGGAAAAACAATCATGGTCGTTGGATTAGTAAAAGCAGAATGCAGAAAGATTTGCCGAAAATGGTTGGTAATTTGTTTGCCTTCAACCCACATATTTGCTCTGCTGAGCTTAGGAATATCAAGACTTCTATGTAAGTACAGTGCATCTGATATAATGATAGACACAAAAAAGAATAAGTAATACACTTACATATCTTCATTTCTGAGGTCATTCAAAACTAAACTCATGCGTCATAACCTCTGAACAATTTTATATAATAATGTATTTATTCTTACACATCTGCAAGGAAATCGTACAGGTACAGCCAACTTAAACGAGGCGTTGAAAAGTATACAGTGAATGAATACAGTAAAATGTAAAATATGCCCCGAGCGTAAGATATGCTCCAAGCAATACACAGTTCCCTCGGCACTCTAATCCAAAGCTTTCTTCGACGGTGTGTTTTTACATTCTCGAACGATACAATAACGATATTTACTACATAGTTTCATGCAAACTAGTAAAAGTCATGTTTATATGTTTAAAATAGGTTATACTGTTTACAAATGGATGACGTCATTTAGGCTAAACATAGCGTACAGCGTAAAGCCTAAAGCCAGGACACCGCGGCTGCTATAAGGAGCCTAAAGAAACATTGTTCTCAAGATCTTTAACCTGATTAAGGACAAAGGATTTTTAAATTTAATTTAGATCTTAAAAGAATATAGTATTAATTTTGTTGGTCTAATAGAACAAACATTAAATATTTAAGACCTATTTAACAACGTGTCCACTAACATATTTATGAAGGGCCATTTAAGAAACTTGAATGTCCAACATTAGGTACTCAAACCAGCATACTGTTCACCTCATCTAGCTAAATTTATGCCGTTGATTAATGTATTCTACCTGGAAATAGCCAACCGTATACAGTACGGCGTCCAAGAGATCTGAAAGATACTAACCCCGTCTATGGAACAATAGCAGACGACACTTATCACGCAACGTCGTTATAAAGGGTTATGTTCAGCACAAATTTGACCCTCTGAGAAATGAGTCAGTCAAAAAGGTCCATACAATTAGCCCCACTCATATTATTTCCCTGCCCTACCGTTAGTCCATCTGGCAACGTCGCCTCTCTCCGATACGTGACCCGATCAGACGTGGCACGACAACGACAGCATAGCAAACACTATGCTATGGCGCGGAAGTAATACCAGGTAGACTAATCAGAACCGGTACGTCGCCGGGAGCAGAAGTAGGTGCGGCCGTTAGGTTAAGCGCTAATGTATGGGAAAATCTATGATGTGTGGAATATGTCTAATAGTTGCGTAGAATGGACAAGTTTACCATTTTTTTGTTATTAGCTCAAATCAAAGTTTAGGAAAAATGAAACAAGATGGTGAAAAAATTATTAATTTATCTCTAAAAACAAAAAAGTTACAGCCTATCAAAGTTGCGCCCTGCGAGAATATTTGTATTCCCTCTGTACGCTATGCGTGACGTCATACTTCAGTATCCAGTTGCAACGCCAGTGGCCGATTCCTCCCAAACACATGCATAGGCACACATACAGCGCGACATATGGTAGGATAGACGTCTTCCGCCACAATTTGTTTAATTAGTTGACTGCATATACGATCGGTTATGAGCGAAATAAGAAAAAAATGTTGTTATAAATACTGTATCGTTCCAAAATGTACGAGCACCACAATCACAACCGCTAATAAACATTTTTTCCACGTACCCTCACATGCAAATATCAGGAAGACATGGTGTAAACTTATGAAGCGTGATTTGATTAGACCAAAAAGAACAACATATGTCTGTGAGGACCACTTTGATGTGAGTATATCACTTTGCTATTTATTTGATTATTAGTTATTATATGATTTCCAAGCTCATTTCACTGTACACGCGGCATTTAGAGGGTAAATATTTATCAACTAATATTACAGGTCACTTATTTCAACTCAGCGAGAATAGCTGTGAGCTACTACAGTGTCACTTACCCCTCTAAAAAGGCATCAAGTAGGTTGGCTCTTTACTGTGTGGATGCGCAATGTTATTTTATACTTTAATGAGATTTTAGAAAAGTATCGCGTCATATTCGCAAATCTGTACTCATATTAAGCATCAACACTAATTTATTTAAAACCTCAGTAGGGTATCGCACATTTTGCCGCTAGTTGTGATAGTGTAGCAGTAGACATAAATACTTACTTCCAAAGTTTCACACCTTTTATTTCCGCGCTTGTATATGATGGATTTGAAGAAATGAATTCCATCACGGCATAAATGTCAATTTTGGGCAAACCACATGTCCGAGCGCACAGGTGTGTCTTATGAATTGTCTACAGAACAATGACTAAACTCACAGACGCTAACGAACGTCTACGCGACGAGACGCTGGGCACTAGAGGAGTGTGACGTCAGACGCGAACGAACGGCAGCAATAATTTCGCGCTATAATACGCCAAATCTAAGTATCAATTTCTCTGTCATTTATTGGCCGACTTCAATAATTTCTATATATATTTTGCTCGTATGCCGTTACTTATGCGATTCTGAATATCACGAAACTTCTCCATTACCAAGGTTGGGAGCGAGTAAATATACATCAAAACATCAAAAAAGATGAGATATACCACCCACTCCCCAATAAATTTCACTCCCAAATTTTTTACCTCTAAAAATTTTTTCAAAAAAGGTCAGGCTTCTCTGAAACCTCTAAAACAAAATTTGACTGATTTGTATTTTTTTTTCTCCGCCACCACTGGACCGATTAAAAAGGTTCTTAGACTTTGGCATAGTAAAAATTTCATCAAAATCCGAGCGATACTTCTCAAGTTATAGGCGGTTATAGGAATAGCCGGCAGACAAACGGAAATGAGTGACAAAGTTTTTGATGATGTCATTTAACATCCAAAAAATATGATATCCATATTCCACCTAAAGATATCCAATCAAAATAGGCATTAGAGATGCGTCAAAAAAGGACTGAAGAATTATGAGACAGAAGCAGAACTAAATACTCTAACTATATTCAAAAATAGATTTCTAAATTGATTACTTATTATAGATGGTGCTAGCATATTTCAGCAGCAAAACTATTCAGAATTAAGATTTATGTTTTTTTTGATGTTACATTTCTGTTGGTTGGTCTGTCTGCTCTCTTGCCTCTCTATTCTCTATAATTCAGAAATTACTGATACGAACTTGATGAAATTTCAAATGAAGATTACTACCATGCCATCGACGAAAAAGCTTTATGAATTTTGAAAATTAGCCCAATGGCAGCGGAGTTGAGCAAAAATAAAAAAAAAACAGTATACTGCCAACTTATTAGACATTTTTCGAGTTTCAAATCATTTTTGGGCGTAGTTACACATTGCGTGGAGGTCACAATGAGCATGACTCATTACGTAAACGTTATGAAACATTGAAAACCTTATTAAAAGAAATTCGAAAATATCCTTGCTGATACGTGACAAATATTTCTTACCTTATGACTTCTAGAGAACGTTGTATTCGAGCTTTTCCTTTCGTTATTACAACTCCTGTTCCCTTCTTTATCTTGGCTCTCGCCTCCGGTATTCGAGATTGACACCCCACTACTCAACTTGTTAGCACAGCCACCACCCCCGCCACTACCTGTTCCTGTACCTGGCTCCTAAAAGCACAAAAAGTATAACTAAAACATGAATCTTTACGAATTCGGCTTTGAGCTGATCATTGCAGTACTGAATCTACAGAGCATAGCTTGGTGATTGTAACTTCCACTTTTCATGTCAGTCCAACAGTCAGAACAAAAAGAAGTGATACTTTTAGGGTACCGAAATAGTTTCTTTCGTTATCTTAGAATAAATATAGATTCCTTCTTACCTGTGAGTCGCTACTATCATCATGACTATCCCTCCGAATCTCGAAATTCTTTGAGGGCGTGCTCAACTTCTGCGCCCTTTTTTTCCGCTTTTCACTATCATCGTCGCTGGCGTCCGATGAGCTACACGATGCGGTGCGGTGCTTGTGAAACTTTGACTTTTTTTGGTCATAGGGAGCGTTACGGTTCACTAGAGGCCTTGGAGATGACTCGGACGTTTGAAATCTACACAGAAACGGTTTAGAAATCACATCTCTCATTTTTAAAATCAAGTCTGAATTTAGAACGTTGATTACAGAAAACAAAATTGTATATTAACAGTATCGTAACAAACATTTGTTGGAGATCTCCTACTGAGCGAGGCCGTGGCAAATGCTTGTTCCGGAAGTTGTTGTATCCAGTATACAACTTCTTCTCGTGATTTACACGCGTTAAGGAATATGTTACCTTAGCACCGATTGCCGGGTGGCGGTACAAGTCCGCCAACGGGCCACTTTAGGTCTATTTAATATCATTAATACGCAAAAAGAAGGTGGCAGTCAAGCACCAGTCGACCGAGGCGGTACCACTCGCTAGCTTATCCCAGGGTGTCTTATAAATGTCCGCATGTTTCCACACCTAAGCTATGCAGTCGGTTATCTTCCAAGACAAAGAAATTAATGATGATGGATCCTTCGAGCACTAAGAATTCCGAACGTAAACTCACTCCACTCTCGGAATGTCCGGGTGGAGGGTGGGCTCGAGGGAACAACATCGAAGACAAAAATTTGTTTCACGAACATCTGCGGGATTAACAGCAACATTGATGCTGTTCATCACTACTTGCAATCCAATCGTCCCGCCATGCTTTTCTTGGCGGAGACAAAAATCTCAGAGTCTGCATCATCTTAGCTTCCCACATTACGAGGTGCACTCTAATCTGAAAAAGAACGGGGGAGTTGTGGCTTTTCTCCGCAGCAGTCTTTCCTGCTCCAGAGATGTTTCTTTGGAATCAGGGCCTCTATTCTTGAGTTTGAGGGTGTAGAAATTGTGAGAGAAAATGACAAAAAGTGAGTGTGGCCAAGAAATGTAGTGTTGTTGAAATAAATTCTACCAAAAGTGATAGGGAGTCGCGACCAAGACAAACTGGAAAAATTAGTAGAAAATAGCGCTATATAACCTAAAAATTGACGTGTTTGGCGGTGTTATTGTAGTTCCTGCTAAACATATTACAAAAAGTGGATAATTTTAATCAATTGATGTATTGGAACGATATTATTAACGAGGATGTAGAGGAGGCAGTTAAGGAATGGGAGATTGTCAGAGATATTCTTGGGCACCGAGATCCTTTCATAATTTCGGATCGAAAATTCGTACATATGTTTAGGTTGACCAAAGATTTGGTGTATGATTTGCTGGAGATATTGACCCCATTCATACAACCACCATCACGAGCTTCTGCACTTTCGACCGCAACAAATACAAGAGTAGAGTAGTTATTGAGTTTTAGTAATTCTAAAACAGTATCCTTTAATCTACGATTGAATATTCCCTGGTGCATTTGGGGGTGCTCTCGGAGAAATTCAATCATTTTGTTCTTTTGTTCATTTGTAATGTGTTTTTTTTTTAGTTTTCGGCTCCATAGATAAAATTATATGGAGGAAATCTTGACCAAAATCTTTGGTTGTGGCTTTTCTCCGCAGCAGTCTTTCCTGCTCCAGAGATGTTTCTTTGGAATCAGGGCCTCTATTCTTGAGTTTGAGGGTGTAGAAATTGTGAGAGAAAATGACAAAAAGTGAGTGTGGCCAAGAAATGTAGTGTTGTTGAAATAAATTCTACCAAAAGTGATAGGGAGTCGCGACCAAGACAAACTGGAAAAATTAGTAGAAAATAGCGCTATATAACCTAAAAATTGACGTGTTTGGCGGTGTTATTGTAGTTCCTGCTAAACATATTACAAAAAGTGGATAATTTTAATCAATTGATGTATTGGAACGATATTATTAACGAGGATGTAGAGGAGGCAGTTAAGGAATGGGAGATTGTCAGAGATATTCTTGGGCACCGAGATCCTTTCATAATTTCGGATCGAAAATTCGTACATATGTTTAGGTTGACCAAAGATTTGGTGTATGATTTGCTGGAGATATTGACCCCATTCATACAACCACCATCACGAGCTTCTGCACTTTCGACCGCAACAAATACAAGAGTAGAGTAGTTATTGAGTTTTAGTAATTCTAAAACAGTATCCTTTAATCTACGATTGAATATTCCCTGGTGCATTTGGGGGTGCTCTCGGAGAAATTCAATCATTTTGTTCTTTTGTTCATTTGTAATGTGTTTTTTTTTTAGTTTTCGGCTCCATAGATAAAATTATATGGAGGAAATCTTGACCAAAATCTTTGGTTAGTATTTGGCTATCAAAATTATCTCCATTTTGATTGGTTGAACACGCTTACTCAAACCTGGCAGCCATGTGTCTTGATTTCCTTTCTGCTTTCTATCGAGTCCTTTCAAGAATACAGTATTTTCGGATCGATAGAAATCCGAGGGAGTAGAAAAGGAGAGGGAATGTGATTTTCTATTAAAGTCAAGAATAGGGACACAGACCGAAAGGACATTCTTTGGCTTCACCTCAACTCCAAAACACCCCCCAAATTTATTTGCTACCCTTATCCCTCCACATCTGGGATGACTTACTTCAATACCTTGCAGTCAAGATCGACTTCCTTAACACCAATCACCCCGCTTCAGAGGTAGTTCTCCTCGGTGATTTCAATGCCCATAATGAGCTTTGGTTGGGCTCAAACAAGCCCGATGCAGCAGGTCGTGGAGTTGAAGCGCTCGCTCTTACTCAAGGGCTGACCCAGCTAGCGACAAGCCCTACTTTTTCCCGCGTCTCGTCACATGCCAGTAGCCTGCTGGATCTCTTTCTGACCACGCATCCTGTCCCTTACAGCGCTGCTGGCCTGTCCCCCCTGTGTAACTCAGACCACGTTGTTGTGGAGGTTAGGTTTCGGTCAGAACTCGCTGTGGCGGCAGAAACTCGCCCTGGTTGCAAAATTTGGCATTACGGACATGCCGACTGGGAGGGGTTCAGAGACTTCTTACCTACCGTTCCTTGGAGAGATGTTTGTTTCGATGACGCGGATGCGTTGGCTGCCTCTTCTTCGATAATCGAAATTATCCACGTGGGAATGGAGGAATACATCCCTGATACAGTGAAAGTGCCTAAACCAGGGTTCAATGGCTGGTTCAACAAATTGTGTGACACTGCTCGTCAGCAGAAGGTCAAGGCAGGCAGATCCTTCTTACAAAACCCCACTGTAAATATCAGACAAGCCGACGTCGAGTCCAGACACAAATATAACGAAGCGGTTCGCAATGGTAAAAACCAGCACGATATAAAAGTTAAGCACAGGATAATGTCGCAAAGCAATGGCAGTCGGCCTCTCTGGACGCTGGCCAAGCAGATTGAAAATAACTTCTCACACAGTAGCCTTCCAAGAATTTTGCTGCCAACTCCACCATGGGCGTCCCCACCAACGGTCGAGAGCCCTCAATTCAAAGGGTTCCCTACACTATGCAGGAGGTAACATTCAGGTTTAATACCGTAAGACGAGTGCTCTTGTCTCTCGACATCAACAAAATTTCTGGTCCGGACTTGATTCCTGTCATTGTACTGAAGAGGTGAACAGCAGAGCTTGCTCCAGTTCTTTCGCGTCTCTTCCAGATATCTTATGAATCCGGCACCTTCCCAGAAAACTGGAAATTTGCTCATGTCCAACCCATCCCAAAAAAGGATCTAAGACCGACCCTTACAACTACAGGCCTATGGCTCTGCTTTCTGTTATAAGTAAGATGATGGAGAGGAGTAAATAAAAACAACTAATATTTGAATCACAAGCATATTCCCTAATTTCTGCAGTAGGCTTTAGAAAAAAAAACTCAATGCTCACCTATCACTATCCTTAAAACTATCTTTCACTGGTACTTTCAGTGGCGGTACGGTATCACATTCGTTCTTAACCTCATTTGTCATGGTGGTTATGATCGGTATAGGTATAACTGGCATATCGAGCCTAACTTTAACCTTAACCCCATCCGGACTGTTCTCTTTAGACATGCTGTTTGATTTCCTGGAGCCAGCCAGGAACTTCTTTTCCGGAGTGGGTTTACGTTTCTCCGACTCGGCCAGTCTTTCTTGCAGAGCTATGTTTATCCTGCCTTCTGATCTTGAGCCTCTGCGGTTCAGAGGGAGAGTGAGGTTCTCTCCGCCTGTGCAGGTCGGGATGTCTTCTTCTTCTTCGTCTTCCTGAACTATGCTGCATTTACGGGATCGCTGAAGAAGAAAATTTTAATTTGTGTTACGAAGATAGACAAAAGGCAAACTCAAATGGCAAGCCCACGACAAGCGGGATATTACTAGAGCTGGGTCAGTTCAGAACAAGTTGCTCTAAAGGAACGATACTGCATAGGGTAGATATAGATAGATACTGACCTTCTCGAAGGTTTCGATTCCGATAGTTTTGATTCCGATTCTGAAGATTTCCTTGACGATAGTGGACAACTAGATGACGGCCCACTAATTGGAACTCGCACCGCAGAAGACAAAAGTTGTCATCATAAAGGGGAAGCCGAACAAAGCTGGTATTACCTTTAACTATAGGGGAACCTCGGTAACACCAAAGAAGACCATTAAGTACCTAGAAATCCATTTGTAAGAAGGAAGTCCCTTTCGGGAGCATATTCGGGCAACGGCAGCGAAAGCAGACAGAAAAGCAGCATCGCTAACAAGAATTATGCCAAACATTGGTGGACCTACCAGCAACAAAAGGGAGGAGGTTATAAACAGCGTGGTGCTTTATGGCGCACCAATCTGACATGATATAATGAGCACTATAAGATACAGGCACATGTTCACCAGACTACAAAGGAAGATGATGCTGAGATTGGCGAGTGCTTACAAGACCGTCTTTACCAAGGCCCTACGGGGAAGAAAGAGTGAGGCTGCACCGAAGAGAAGAAGGGAGAACCACGAGGGCCAGAAGGGAGGAGCGCTAGATCACCATCAGCAAATGGCAGAACGAGGGGCACGTGGCTCAGTGGACGAAAAAGCTTATACCTGACATCGGAAAGTTGCAAACAAAGACGGCTGGACTACCATTTAACGAAGGCACTGGCGCCGCACGGTTCTTTTCGAGCATTTACGAAAAGAATACAAAAATCAAATAGCGATGAGTGCATATACTGTCGAAAAGATGACACCGTTGCACACACCCTCTTTGAGTGCAATATATGGTAGCAACAAAGGGCACAAGTCGTTGTTAGTCTAGGACACGACCTGACTGATAGCAACCTGATCAGCACCATGATGGCGAACAATCAATCGACTTGTCTTTACAACAATTTATAATTTGGCTTAAATCACGATTGAAATTAAAAAAACCAATTGTTTTAAATCATGATTTGCATATATCGTCGCAAACAAATCTCCAAGAAGAACTCTATCACATCAAAGACAATCTAATAATAAATGGCTACCCAAGAAGACTGATTAATAAATTTCTTACAGAAAAAAACACCGACAACAGCAGAATCACACGGAATGAACCCCAGCATACACTAATTCCACCATATATTGAGGAAATAAGTGATGCAATCAGAATAATAGGAAGACGGTACCAAATCGAACCTAGATTTTCAAGGAACATCACACTTCGCAGTATCCTCACAAAGACAAAACCTACAAACAAAAACGTGAACACCAAGGTGCCATGTGAATGCGGATAGATATACATAGGGAAAACAAAAAGACCACTCTCAATGATAACAAAAAAGCATACAACACCTGACGGATAGAAACAAATAAATCTGGCTTAGTAGATCACGCTTGACGAACTACTATACGTGTGTGAATTTAGCAATCTGCTCCATTCATTCGAGAAAGGCAGTCCATTCAAGAAGCCTACACTGATGCTTGGCTACGTAGAGCACATACATGTGTATTTGAATCTATTGCAGACAACTTTGAACAATATAAGTGACAGAGGTGCACTTGAAGTTTCCCTTCGTTGACGGTGAGTATGGTTTAATTTATTTTTTTTACTTTTTCGATGTTTCACCACGCATTAATTAGCTTTGTTTTTACAAACGTAGTCCTGAAAAGGAAAGTCCCAACTTAAAGGAACTCTGTGTGTGAAGGAAATGGATGTATGGAAGCGACCCTATAAAAACCATGTAAAGAAAAAGAAGCTTAGTTCATTTATATCAATTTAATTATAACACTGAAATTTACGGTCTTTCTAAAATTTGTCTCCATACCTGAGGCAAATCACCGGGTGTCCTAGGCACACTGAGCAAAGTGGGTTTCACAGCAACATTTTCTTTCTGCGAAACAGGGACGGCAGGAAATACAGCTAACTCCTCAGGTCTCTTATTCTTAGCTTGTTCCTGCCTTTTGTACCGCAACTTTCTCTCCGCCAGCAGATAGTAAGTTGCCGTTATGTGATTGTACTCGTTTTTCTCTAAAGATCTGGAGGAACGAAGAAAGATGAAAACTATGACGCTTAGATTGTAATATCGGAAAATCAAGAAGTTGAATAACCAATAGCTTCTTAGTAAAATACTCAGTTTCACTTGTATAGCATTATAATTACATTCTTGTTATATGAGTATTTTGGAAACTTACTCTTGTATTTCCTCCTTGGTAGCAATATTCCCATTAACGATCTTCTGAACGATCAGATTGTGATCGTCTTCTGAAAGTTGTTCCCTTGATACAAGAGGGAGAGCATCGTGATAGTCTTGATTAGCAGTACACACCCATGGATGACTTGCGATTTCTTGCAGGGTGGCCCGTTTTTCGGGGTTTCGCAGAAGCATTCTTGATATTAACCTTGAAAAAAAGACATGCTTAAAATCATATTTTAATTGTAAAATTGACAGAGGATACACTTAGGGCCATCAACTCAACTATGATAGAAATGAACAAGAAATAACAAGAAACAGCAAAAAACGGCGAGAAACAACATGATCTAACAACGAACAATAAGAAACAGCAAGAAACTGCGAGAAACAAACAACGAGGAACAAGGAACAGCATAAATCAGCAAGAAACAAATGGACCAACAAGACACAGCAAGAAAACGGCAGAAACGATAAGAGGCAAGAAACCACATGAGCCAGCAAGGAATAACAAGAAACCGCAAGAAACAAGAACAAACAGGGAACAACAAGAAATAACAAGAAAAGACAAAAGCGAACAACCAGAAACCACAAGAAACAGCAAGAGAATGGTAAGAACGATAAGAGACAACGAGAAACTACAAGAGTCAACAAAGAACAACAAGAAACAGCAAGAAATAACAAGAAAGGACAAAAAAGTAACAACCAGAAATAACAAGAAACGACAAAAAATAAACAACCAGAAATAACAAGAAAACGATAAGAGAAAACAAAAAACCATAAAGTAAACAAGAAACAGCAAAAAACAACAATTAACAAAAAATAGAAAGAAACAAGGAACTGCAGAAAATGGAATGTCACAGTGAGATTAGAAATATACCAAGCTTAGTAGTGACTTTTTCAGCTAGAATACACAAAAAGATGACTATTCTATTAATCACTCTCTGTCAGAGTAGCCCATGTGCTCTTACTAAGTTTTGTAGGTCACTAAGTCTATCAAATTGCCCAGATACCAACCAGAGTCGGGAAGAAAGAAAGAAAAAAAAACAACCCAAGACAGCAAAGAAGGATAATAAATATTTTTACTTACTTTTTACAGTTTTGCGACACGTGCGCTGGGATGTCATATTTACAGTCCATGATCATGGTTAATGTTTCGGAATCATTTGCTTCTTGGAAAGGTGGTTGCCCACATACTAACATATAAAGAATTACTCCTAATGACCAGACATCTGAAAAAAACCATAAAATTTAAAATACAAAAAGGCATACTTTCCAAACCTAAGTACACCAGAAATTATGCACCTGAATACATCAAGGGATGAAAAAAGAATGAATAATTATGTAAATTATATGTTTGGGAGGCCGGGGGGTTAAATAATGTTTAAAATTTTTGTTGAAAGACAGGTAACGAAAATTCTTTATATACTTTAGGAATGTCATTATAAATAATCGCAGCGTCGTAGGAAAAACGGCTATTAAAAAGTGAAGACGTATGCTCGGGTATTTTCTAATACCTTTTTCTCAGGTCATACAGTAAAAATCATTATTAAATGAATTTTTTTCCTCAAATAAGAGGATTCTGCCATGAGTACTAATTTGTGAACAAAAACTGAATAGTGATATTTGACCAAATAATTGATTTTTAACCAATTTAGAACGGGATATTTCGCTGATACATGATCAAATTTCCACAAAACATGATGAATTACAGGTCTGTTAGTTTACTTTACGCATTTGCAAAACCTTTTTTGAACTAGTAATTTACGAACGCATAATGAATCATTTCACTAAACATAATCTTATATCTAAAACACAACACGATTTTATAAAGAGTAAATCAACAAACACAGCAATTCATCAATTTAACTGCCAAATTATAGCAAGTCTTGAAAATGGAGATATACCTTTTGCATTGTTTTTGGACCTGTCAAAAGCATATGATTGAGTGAACCATAGGACACTGTTAACAAAGCTAGAAAATTATTGTGTAAGCGCAAGCTTTCTTAAGTGTGTCAGATCGTATCTCTCATAACACAGGCAAAAAACTGTGACTACTAAAAACCGTAATATAGCTAAATCAAATGAGATTCATACATCAGTGGGCCTCCCTCAGGGTAGTATCCTTGGACCCCTTTTATTCATAGTTTTTGTAAACGATATGTCTTTAGATTTGATTATTCCCCTGACGCTTCAATATGCAGATGATACTAGTATTCTGGTAACCTATACAAAGCGCCGAAGAGATAGTCCAAAAAGATTCTTTTTTTTATGATAACGTTTCGGAATGGTTCGGAAAGAACAAATCAGTGTTAAATAGTAGAAAAGACAAATAACAAGATTTTTCAAATCCAAGCAAGACAATTACATTGTACCTACTAAAATAGCTTCGACAGAGAAAATACATCTTAATCTCGTATAACACCAAATTTCTTGGAGTACACTCAAATGGTCAGAAAAACAGAAAATAAGCAGTGTATGTTACATTCTAAGGGTTTTAAATAATTATCTTGATTTTGATATTCTAAAAATCATCTACCACGCCAATTTTGAATCTATCCTAAGAAATGGAATGATTTTTTTATTAACAAATCATTTCTATGAATCAACATTGTATAGTCCAAAAAAGAGCTCTGAGATGTATACTTAAAATGTCACAAAAAAAATCATGCCGTGAAAAATTTAGTTCTAATAGTACTTTAACCATAACTGCTATTTACTTACAAGAAGTCTTACTGTTTGTCTTTAAAAATCGACCTTTGTTTGAAAAGTACGTACCAGGGGGTAACTATAATATTAGAAATTCTAATTACTTTAACAGAAAGGAATGAAGTTGCTTGAAAATTTTAATCATGTTCCTCCAGATACAAAAAAGTAAGTTAAATTTCTTTAAGATCTAAAACGTTATTGTCTCGATGACTATTTAGCACGATTCTAACTTTTCTCTCTATTGTTTTTTGTGATGACGTTATTTCACCTAACTAGGTGGGTACATACATGCATTGTTATTTGGCAATGAAAATTTGTTGATGTTGTTGTAAGAAATTTAAATAAACCTAAGATAAAACGTACACAGTTATTTTGAATTGAATGAGTTAATAAATCGTGAAATTAGAGGCATTCCGGCCACCATAAGGAGCCAGTGCATAGGCTGCTTAAACGGGCCCTTATGCATCCCTACATTTATTAGATCTCAAGCCTCGCCTTTCAAAGTAATGGACCCCAGTATAGTCTGCCTAGAGTAGCTCAGAACATCACAGCGACACACAACGTACGCCGAGGTCTCTTCCTCTAGCCCGCAGCGCTCACACAAGGGATCCACCTTCATCACGTGCAGGTGGCGCCTTAACGTGTTATGGCCAGACAACAGTCCCACCAGCAACCTTAGGTTGGCTCTATCCAGAGATAAGCAGAAACGTCCATCTTTAGCACTGGGCCCTACAATGAGTTCCCGTGCCTGAAGGAGATGTCTGGATATACTTTTCCATTTCTGAGAGTGTTGTCTTGCAATCCACGTCTCCATTTTCCTCCTAACTCTTTGCGCGGGCAACGAGCTTGCTGGCTGATCCTGTCTTCGCCAGAGCGTCCGCCGTCTCATTGCCCCTTATCCCAGTGTGCCCCGGTACCCACATTAACGATACCTCGCTGCGAGATAATCGAGAGCCTCCCTGCATTGTAATACAAGGCTCGAAGTATTCTTACAGGCATTTAGTGCCTTAATTGCAGCGGATTGCTAACGGATAAGATTGTTATTCTGCTCCTAGGCCCACCCTCCTCCAGAATGCGAAATACACAAGAAAGAATCGCAAAGATTTCCGCCTGGAAAACAGTGGCGTATCCTCGTTGGATACTCCACATTAAACTTGCGGTTGAAGCGATATTTAGGGGTAATGGAATCACCCCTGCTTAGAAGGGGGTCCCCCCTTTGCAGTTCGGCTAAGATGGCAGTATGCCCCTTGACAGGATTCAAGAAGGTCCAGCTGTCCTGAGTTCACAGTCGATGAGTGTCTACTCTCGCTTCACCGCGGATCACTAGATCCAACGGTGGCAGATCCAGCGGAGCTTCCATTGCACTCAATGGCGTTGTTCGCGCTGAACTTGTAATGCTAATACAGGCCAAATGCTGAATTTTATTGAGTTTGACAACTAGTCTCAGTTCTAATGCAAGGCCACCAGACCAGGGAGTCGTAAAAGAGAGATGGACGTACTATCGTCGTGTAGGGTCAGTGTAAAAGTTTGTGTTTGAGCCCTCACCTTACGCCGACAACACGTCTACAGGCCCACATTAAATTGCGAGCCTTCTTAACCTCTGTATAGTTCAGTTTGCATTTCAGGACAATTCCTAGATATTCTACTGATTGGGTCCCAAAAAAGGTTGGCAAGACAAGCCCTTCAATCCTTCTCCTCCTAGCGAATAGGATAGGCTCGGTCTTTCCAGCATTGACAGAAAGATCGACTTCCTTATACCACAATTCCACAGAGCTCAGAGCCCCTGCATAATTTCAGAGACTGTTCTACAAAAACTGCTATGCTTAAATCATCAGCATAGCCTTGCACGTAGACACCTGCACTGCTGAGCCTAGCGAGGAGTTCGTTCTCCACGAGGCACTACAGTAGTGGTGACAGAAGTCCGCCCTGAGGGCAGCCACTAGCTACGCTGATGCTGCAGATTACGTCATTCAGCATAGCTGTTGCTACCCGAACCTCCTGAGTAGATAGGACCCAATCTACTAGGATTGATCCAACCCCGTGCCTAACCGAGGTATGTCTGATAGAGTCGCTTGTACTGCATTTAAATGCACCTTCAATGTACAAAAAGGCATGTCTGATAGAGTCTGTTGTAGTGCAATTAAATGCATCTTCATTGTCCAAAAAGGCCAGGAGTGCCACTTCTCTCTGATCTAGAGTCTTATTTTGAATTACTTAAATAACGTCTTTGGTGAAATTGTCAAAACATGAGTAGTATACGATATTACAATAATTTAGTATATGTAGATATGGCCAATGCTACCAATGACTACATACTTTTAGATAGGTTTTCCATGAAAAACTTTTAACATTATCAATATTTTATTGTATCAAAGTGAACACCAATAATTTTTGCAGAATCAGAAAACTGTAAGATTTACGTAGTTATTTATCTGAATATCAAGAGTTACGTTGATTTTTGAAGTTTATAGATTATCTCTACATTCACTTTTCTATTGTAATTCCTTGCGGCGAAATGAAAAAACTATAGATAGTATTATTCAAATTTCTTTTTCATTTGAATAAAAAAAATGTGCATACCAACAGCAGGCGCATCATATGAATCTCCTAGCAATATCTCAGGCGCTGAGTAAGCCAAACTGCCGCACGACGTCTCTAGCTTCTGTCCGGGATAAAACTTGTTGCTGAAGCCAAAATCCGTCAATTTCACTACTCCTTGCTTCTTGAAGAACACCACATTTTCTGGCTTCAGGTCCCTGTAGATAAGAATCGCAAACATTTTATGAAATATTGATCTTCTATTTGTCATTGTCTGTCAGAGAAAAAGAAGAAGAATATAAAATTAAGAACACATATATAACAAATTAAAATCAAAATAAAATCAGTCAGGGAATATGAAATTTACTCAAGCATGAATAGCGTAAGTTATGCAAAAGCATATACAGGGGGTCCCAATATTTCGTGGACATAGAAGCGCCCCATGTTTTTAGACTCAAAACCAGTCTATTTTAATTTATGTATGGGTGAGAGTAGTTTTCACCCTTCTCGAACCCTACAGAGTTTTTTTATATAAGTCAAATATTAGGGCGTCTAGCAAAACACATGTGTTCTAAAATTATCTGAAAATGTGTTTTGAAAAGAAAACTTTGACGCTCACTAACGGACAAACAAAACACTTGTGCATAGAGATAAATCATGTCCAATCCACTTATTTTAAGTCTAAAAATACGTGGTATTTCTATGTCCACCACGGAATATTGGGACTGTATATACTTGAAATGTTGACAACACAGTGACATCTTACAAAAAAAAAAAATGGAACGTGCTAGATACACCACTTGGTTGCAAAGCACTTATTGTTAATCAGATATTGTATCCTCAAAATACTCATTCGTAGAGTGTTTTAATAGAGTTTTTACCCTGTTCTTAAATAACCCCAATGGCAAGATCTTCAGAGTATCCGGCAATTTCTTGAACAGTGATACGTATATAGAACCTTTGCTCTTGGTTAAAATTGTATCTGCCAGTAGGTCTGACAAATAGTGACTACAACTAGGGAGGAAGGGAAGTAAAAAGAAAGGAAGAGTGTCAATTGGAAGGGTTGGTGCCGTCAAGTACGATTCAGAAATGTTCAATGTAAAAAAAGTCCGGCGAGAGATATTACCAAGCCACTGTTTGTGGGTGCAAGACTTCTAGCTATCAAAGCAACACTTTAGTACTATAGGTATAGGTATAAAACTGAACTGCAACCCATACACGAGCGTTCTTCCCTGCCTTTAAACTATGTCAAATCAGGATATTAATATGGAACCCAATTTACAATATTTATATATCACGTATCAAAGAGTTAAAAAAAATGTCTTAAAAAAGGACTTATCGTTCAAGATTGATGGGGTATATCCACAAAGTGGATTTTATTTTCGAACTTTAGACAGCGATAGAAGTCAGGCATTTGTTAAGTTTTTTTGCACAAATTACTAAATGGTAAAATTGACTCTATCGACTTTTTATCATAGCTAAATGGATGGCTTTGTACTGAGACTTAAGAGAGATCATTACACATTTTTATTTAGAAGAGCTCAAACAAGTCTGTTAATAAAATGTGTGCAAGCGCGAACCAAACTGTCTAAGGTGTGTGACATTTTCTGCTGCAGCCTTTCAGAAATAAGAGCTCAGTGTCGTATCAATTTGTTGTTTTGTAAAGTTAGTTTTAGGTAAATTTAATTTCAGTGCAAAAGCTCTGCCAATGGTTTATACTGTTGGGCAATATATGCTTTATTATTATTATGTGAATCGTGTCGTGTCGACAAGTCATGGAAAGACTGCCGTTCATTAATCTCGATGGAACGAGCTTTCGTGACAGGAAATAATGGCATCATTGAATGACAGAGAAGAACACTTATGTATGGTTAGCAACTATCATACATCTAATACTTCCAAAGTGTGTCCAGGGGGTACTCAAGGTTGGGACTTTCCTTTACAGAGCGTGTACGTCAGGTAATAACAAGCAAGTTGTTCTAGTAACACATGTACCAAAACCTTAAGATAACCGAGATATTAAGTACCAAAAATTTCTAAATTATTCATTCCCAGTCTGCCTCCCTACCCTCCTATGGCAAATGTATCCAAATCAGGTACCGCGCAGTACTAGGCACTTGCACATTCCGACAGCATTAATGAAGTTTTTAATTTGATGTTAGTTTACTGTAAGCGATTGATACTCCGCAAGTGTATTCCAGTATTCAGAAATTGGTCGTGCTCCTCCATATTTCCAACAGAGTTACGTAGGTTTGTTTATACAGGGTGTTTCAAATGCGACCCTCACCATGGGATCTCAGAAACTGTAAGACATGAAGTCATTTAGATGACTACATAGCTGCATATTCACTTAATCAACAAAATGCTGCTTAGAAAGTTTCGAGATTCAAAGTGCTTCCGGCGAGAGATAGAAAAAAACAAATTTTCCCAAAATTATTTTAATTTTTTCCTGACTTTATTTGTAGTGGTATTTCAAAGTAAATTGCACATTAACATAGCCACTTTTTCTGCCTCTACAAGATGGCATAATTAGAAATTCCAATATCATGTCTCGTCTCTTGTCCTACAGCATTAACTTTTTTTTTTTGATGACGCCATATTAGATTTTTGTGCCGATGAAAAGAGTTTTCAATTCTGATTTCAAAGATATATAATATGCCATACTTTGACATTGCCAAACCTTAATTGTTCCAGAAAAACAGAAGTTTCTAGGTAGGACCTGAAATTATCAGATCTTATTCTTTCCATATACCAGACCAGCCGTCAAATTGAACACAGCAACAGAGTTCGGAAGACTGAGCAGAAGAGAAATGAATCGAGCAGTGACCAATGTACAGAGAAGAGTGAACTTTTGCCTACAAAATAACGGACAACATTTTAAATATCTGTTATGATTTCCCTCTGCTTATTAATTGTGATTATTATTGATATTACCATAAATAAAATTTTTTGTGTTCAGGTTTCAATCTACTTTTTATTTCCTCAGAATTTTCATCGAACAACAAACTCAGCCCAACTAAAAAAATAGATCAATTTAGGACTGAAAAGTCCATTTAAATGTACAAAATTCCAATATGACGTCCAGATGAAAAAACAAAGCCGTATTGAAGAGAATCAGTAACTTTGAAAACATGCCATTTATTTAGAAATCCCATATCAGATAAAATCAGAAAAACATAAATCTGATTTTGGTAAAAATATGAAAAACAAATTACTGATAATTTCAAGATCTACCTAAGGAATTATCTTTTTTCACTAAGGCTTGGCATGTCAATGTATGACGTATTATACATTTTTGAAATCAAAATTAAAAACTCTATTCATCTGTGTCAAAAGAAAAAATAAAGTTGATGCTGGGGGACAACAGACGAAACATCATATTATATATTAATTATGTGACTTCTTGTAGAGGAGAAAAAGCGGCAATGTTAATGTGCAATTTATTTTGAAATACCACTACAAATAAAGTTGGGAAAAAATTAAAGCAATTTTAGAAAAATCCTGTTTTCTCTGTCTCTCTCGGGGAGTATTTTGAATTTCGAAGCTTTCTAAGCGGCATTTTATTGATTACCTAAATACGCAACTTTGCTTCCATTTAAGCGACTTCTTACAGTCTCCGAGATCCCAATGGTGAGGGTCGAATTTGAAACAGCCTGTATAGTGCATAAGCCAAATGGGTGGACACAGCAGTAGACCTAAACATCATCTAGATTAGTAGAATTGGGAAAAGCCGCGTCATGTAGATTGTTTCTCAATCTCAATACCCTAGGGGCAAAGGAGTGGTCGTATCGGCCAGTTCTGGATGTACGAAGTTCCACACGGTTAGGATGGGAGGTGGAAGTCAGGCGGGTCTGTCTGGCAGGCACATGGCGCGACGGCATCATGGAGGACCAAATCCCATTGGTGAAGCCGTAGAAGAGATCTAGATCGCTGACGACTTGCCGGTGTGAGAGGGTCCAGAGACTGTCTGCTAGACAAGAGCCATCAATTAGTTGGACAGCATCAAGGCATTATGTAGTCGGGACTGCAGAAGCCCAAACATGAGAGCTAGGTCTTATCTGGGACTTGTACAGAGTGAATAGGTTATGTGGAAAAAAGTACTTCCTAGCCGTAAACAAATAGCCTAGCGTTTTCCCAGCAGCTGACACTATTGAAGAGATGTGTTCGCACCAGATCAAATCCGCGGTAATCTGGATTCCGATCAGCCGAAATGAACGCCTCTTTGGTAGAAGTCGGCCACGCATAGAAACCGGATGAGCGCTAGGGCGCTTTTTGTTCGTCAAGGTACAGTACTGTGTTTTGGAAGCATTAAACTGTACCAGATTGTTATGTCCCCAAGCAGTGATAACCTCCAGGTCTCCCATCAGAGAGGATGTCGCTGCTAGTCTTTTTTTGTACAGCTCACCAGCAGAGATCGGCTTGTCATTCGAAAATTCTGCATGTACAGTTCTGTCACCAGCAAAGCTGTGGATGTGATTGCCTGTACACGAAAGAAGGTCGTCGACATTTAAGAGGAACAATGTCGGAGCCAAGACCGATCCCTGGGGAACACCCGCGTTGACACAACTACAAAGCTTCTCGGGGAGGCCCTAGGATGGAAGTTTGCATAAGAATGCAGCATACCACAGCTGATCGAAAGCTTTTGTGATATCAAGAGCAACGACATTAGCTTCACCATAGGACTGGATAAGTTTGCTTATAACAGAAAGTAGCGCTATAGGCCTGTAGTTGTAAGTGTCCGGTTTTCTGGGAAAGTGCTGGGGTCGCAAGATATCTGAAAGAGACGCGAAAGAACGCTCTGCTGCACATTTCTTCAATACAACGCCAGAAATCAAGTCCGGACCACAAGCTTTGTTGATGTCAAGGTCTTATGTCTGAAGATTACTTGCCGCCTAGTGTAGGAAACCCGTTGTATAGACGGACTCGGGCGTTGGGGGGTCGTCCATGGTGGAGTTGTGCAGCAAGTGTCTTGGCAAGCACTTCCCCTTTAGCCTTTGAGTAGGTTACAATTGTTCCAACCCAGCAAGTAAGTGGTGGAAGGCTACTCTGCCGTTACGTTGCGACGTTACCCTATGCCTAATTTTTACATCGCGCTGTTTTTTGGCATTTCGTACTGCCTCGTTATATTTGTTTCTGGATTCGACGTCAACTTGTCCGTCTCTATAGTGATGTGCATACACCTTCTTCTGACGAGCAGTGTCACTGTATTCCATACCAAAGTATGTAATTTTTGTGATAGGGAAATACTTGGCATGCCGTAACAAATAGTAAGTATTTTTCTTTAATTTCCTTTTTACGTTCTCGGTGCTGTTTTACCGCAAACTAACTTTTATTTCGTAGTTATTTCTGAAAAGGAAAATAAGGCCACCTAGTATTGTCCCTACCTATGGACAACATGCAGTTGGTGACAGTACGATATGGCGCGCACTATTTGGCTGAAGTACTCCCTCGCTTGGTTCTCGGGCAGACCTGTTTCGTGCCGCATGATGTACTCGTACAGGTCACCGCCATCGCCTAGTTCCAGCACCAGGTACAGTTTGGTTGCCGTGTCTATCACCTCGTAGAGACGGACGACATTAGGATGTTGCACCAGCTTCATGCATCTTACCTGAAAAAAAAATCATAAAACTTCGCTACAAATCACTACTATTTCCGACTAAGAGTATAAATGAGAAAGTGCGCATGATTGTTACTCAATCAGGCCAAAATGGCTGAAGAGATCTGGATGAAATCTGGTACAGAAACAGATTATAGCCTGGATAGCACATAGGCTAATTTTTACCTCGAGAAATAACTTTGAATTGTTATTTCACGGGCTTAATATTTGGGTAAAATTAGCGAAAAAATTATACTTAAATCAATCATGGCGAGCATCAGAAAATTATTCCAGGATATCAGCATGGTTTCACCAACACATACGCAATATTCACGAACCGTTAAAGTCATGACAGATACATTTGGACAACGACATCACTTAGCAGCAGTTACTACCGACCTCTCAAAAGCATTTGACTCTATTACTCATAGTGCTCTTATTTATAAGTTACAACAAACGGAAATCACTAACAATGTTATACGAGATATTTATAGAAAAGTATTTGCACATCCGTCAAAAACAATCATACCAAAATAAAAATATACTACCGACGCTACCAAGTACCACAGGGATCTATCCTCTGATCCTACCTGTGGAACCTATACGCTGCTGATCTGCCGATAGAAAACATTGCACGACAAACGATATTGAAAATAAGCAGATGATCAGTGCGCGCTGGATGAATCCAAACAGCAAAACACAGCCATCATGAGAGCAAAGTGGGCAATGGAAGAAATATTTGAGTACTATGATCGGTGGGAGATTATTTGTAACAAGCAGAAAACTGAGTGCATTGTATTTGAACGATCACCACTGCACCTTAACCCAGATATGCCTACAGCTCAAATAAGTTATAATAAAGTATGTTCTCTGCAAATTCATTCTATATGAAGCATATATTAAACAAATTTATTTTTTAAAAAGTGTAAAAAATGAAGTACAAAATATGGTACACTAGGCACATAGGCGAACATTGAGGTTTAGTATGGAAGGACAAAAAAACATTTTACATGCATCCCTACATTGCACTTAGAGCACCTTGTTTTTCCTCTAGTTGGCTTTTCTTGTGGTATCACAAAATGATCTAAACGATCATAACGAATATCTATATATTCATTAGCCGAAGGACGTCCTCTAGAAAAAGATGGTGGTTTCTTGTTTTGTTGTAACAAGGCTGTGGCAAGCCGCCGTCTAAATAATAATTGATCCATATGTCCTCCGTGCGATCTCTTAAGTTGTCAGGAATTATGAACAGCCATATCAATACAGTGGCTGATCAATGAAAAATACCACTTTTTACCTCGGATGGAAATGCGATACAGACCAATATTTTGATCACAACGATCAACGCCGCCCATATTTGCGTTGTATACATTTACAAGATGAGGCTGTTCTACCTAAAATCAAAAGCATTTTTGAAAACATTGATTCTCTTGCAGATTGTGTTTCTTACCTGAATACTTTTTTTATCCTTTTGAGAGTATCGCTTTACAAAGCGAATTGGTTACAATCCTGCGGCATTTGAACAGAGTGTTACTAAATTATTGTCATGCCATTTTGCTAAAATTATGTTTGTATCGGAAATTTTGTTGTAATCGTAACTACCTCTTTTTTCCCTTTTCATAATTTTAGAATCTCTGAATTGGACGCCTTGTAAACGATTTTCTCTTGCAGTACCAGTCGCAAAGAAATTTTTTTCTCTCAATTTTACTATAAGAGTGAGAGAAGTGAAAAAATTGTCGAAAACTAAATGAAATTTTTCATTTGGCCATTTTCTCCTCAGTGCATCCGAATACTCTAATACCACACCAGCACCAACCCCCAAATCTGCATAATTCTTACTAATGTTGGTTGACGACCCTTGGTAAGGTTCAACCCAGTAAACGTAGCCTAGTTTTGATGCGCCAACCCATAATTTATAGCCGTATCGTATAGGTTTTCCGTGAATGAACTGTTTGCATGAGTGTCTCCCAAAATAAGGAACCATTGCCTCATCTACACTATGCATTTCTGTAAAAATTCCATGCTCCATAAATGTTTAATTCAGGCTCGCAAATAAAGGTCTAACTTTTACAAACTTATCTCCTTGCTATAAATTGTAGTTATCTACTAAATGGAAATTTGACATAATATACTCAAATTTATCTCGTGTAAGCGCTTCTGTGACGAGTTGATTATTAGCATCTCTTTCACGTTCCCAGAACATTCTTCTACGTGGTACATCGACATAACCACTCAATATTAGTGTTCCAATAAATGCCCTTATTTCATACTCTTGCACCTCTTGTTGGCGATTCTTTTGCCTGGAATATCTATTTGTTTCAGTTGTTATGCGTGTTGTAAGTTCGCCGTCAAGAAAAAGTGAAAACCATTCAAGTGGAGTCTTGGAAGATTTATTTTGTTCAAGAAGTTTCCTGGAACTTCTTGTGGCAGATCCTCCTTCACCCATTTGTACGTTTTTCGTTTCTTTAGTTTTTTATTTTTTTAGCCAATTCAGACAATGGAATATTATCTTCGGAATCAGATGAAGATGTGCTAAATTTTTCATGAGGTATGTTTATCTCAGAAGGTGCTTGTAATTGTGAACACGGTAGATTATCAGCTGACATTACATTCTCATCGCCGGAGTCCTCGTCTGTGAGAATGTCACAAGCATTGATTGGAGGCATCAATGTGATATTATCCACATTTGCTACTACATCTTCATTATCCTCCAGTATAGCAAGAGCTTCCTCCAAAGAAAAGCCCCTAAAAATGAAACAGGAATGTATTTTCCTGGCGTACAATATTTTGCACACTCAAATATAATGACGCAATTGTGAATCCGAAATAATAACATAAGTAATTTGGCATTATAACTGGAAAAAAGCATGTGTGTTTTATTGGTAGAAGCAATCAAAACATTTTTTTTTTATTTACGTAAAGACCATATATTTACTTACTTGGCAAATCGTATTCCATATTCAGCCATGTCACAAAAAATAAAAACATCTTCACAACATGACGATTTACTAAGGCTTACTGAATACATATGTGCTATTACCGCGTCAAAATAAACTCAGGTCGTTGCAAGTCGCGACTTGTTTACGGTGTACCAAAAATTGTACGCTAGGCATACCTGGGTTAAACAGATCAACTTTGGGAATGGGAAGCGAACAGTCGTAACCCGTCCTCGAACATATACGATACCTTGGGTTCTATATTAATACAACAAGGTCTGACGGCCTCATTAAAGAAAGTATTCTTAAGGCTAATCGTGCACTTTACGCTCTGTCTCCGATCATTGGCTTCCGCGTGAATGTTTCTATAGAAGTGCCCAGTAGTAGCATATGGATTTGCTGCTGTGTTCCCATGAATAAGTAAAAGTGACATTCCTAAGTATGAGAGATGATTTAAGAAGATACATAGAGCTACTGCATCCCAGATGACATCCTTTGGGAGTTGCTATAAAATTACAGTGTGGCAACAAGTCTCTATCAGGCGCACAAGAAATTTCTTGTAAACACTGACGAAGGCAAATCAATGAATTCGATTTCACCAAGGTAGATCATCCAATCAGCCAGCCAAGTGAGTGATGTCAAATCCAGCCTCTAAAATTCAAGCAAGCACTATCTATAATACTTTGTAAAAAGATTTTATCCTACGACCTGTACCCTCCTCCTTGTATTTCACCCCTTTTATGAGAATTACATACTTTTAATGTATACAGAAGCACTATATTTTTGTTTTTTTATTGTTTATATATAACACACAGGCATCATTATATGTAATATAATCAATATAAGATAAAAGTTTCAAATCGATTGAGTGAATTATATTTGACATGAGGGGTCTATCACCGAAACACTTGGTCCTGGTCTGACTGAGATGAGTAATGTTATATAGGGTTTTTGCATCGTGTATTTAACGCATTTCGACGTTAGTTTCTTTAGCGAAATCTTTTCGATTTAAACTTGTATGGTGTTTTGTTATACTTTAAGTATAGCACTGTGATAAGATAGTTATTGGGTTACGATATGTTAAGATATGCCACACAGGCTATAAGATACTTCAGGTATTATTTATTGTAATTCTTATTTCACATTTGTTAATCTATTATTTGCACTACGACATGGACAGAGCCCAGTTTTTAGGCTACTAAGATCATGAACTTATAAGTTTTTACCAAGATTTATGTTGATGAAATATTTCATAATTTAATCAACCTTAAAGACCTGCCTGTGAGTTACACAATCTACATAAAGATAGTATCCCAAAAGGGATCTTTAAAAATAGTCTGACTGTTGGCTCTGCTACTGACTTAAGAGACATTAGGATCTTCAATCACTTCTTGGCGACTCTCTGATGCCCACTTTAATTGTATCTTCAGAAAATGATCAATATACTCCAGCTGAAGATAACTAAGTAAAATGGGAATTAAAGATACCCCAAACAGGGGGAAGATCCCACTCCATCTATGAGACAGTTGCATAACAAAACACTCTTGACCGTTTTCAAAATAGATATCTAAATTCAAATGTGTGATCTATTTTTTAGTGCTGGAATACAGTATATGGTTGGCTACTTTCAGATAAAATAAGTTACACAATGTAAATATAAAAATGTTATAAATCAGTTTGTAGGAAGGTTTGTCAATAGGTTTTTAACTGACTCATAGAATAGTCTCTTAGCAGGTTACTACAAATACATTTTTTATTATATTGGTTAAAGGCACGCCAAAAATCTTGGAAAACTAATTGAACTTCAATCTTATCATAACATCTAAGTATGATTTCTGCAAGCTTTTAACTGTACTGATTTCAAAACTTTTGGGGGATGAATTTTTTCTCATTATTTCAAGAATTGCACTAACAGTTGGCTACATTTTATGAGATTCTTGGGAAGTTTCATACTAGTAGTTAATATATTTGAATTTGGACTCTAGTAGTTCTAGTTCTTTCTGAAATTAACCTTAGTTTTGAAAAAATGTTACCTCTTGGAAAAGGTGAGCCTTTGAAACTTCATCAAGCTTGCTCTTGTCAATAACTTTGACAGCCACCTTTTCTCCTGTGAAAACATGCCTGGCTAGTTTGACCACAGCAAAATGACCTCTTCCCAGGGTTTCTTCCAAATCATAGAGGCCTGCAATTTTTCCATCATACTGCTTGGAAAGGTAATCTGTACTGGAGCTCTTGCCAAATGTACGGAAATTTCTTTGCATTTTCACACTAAACACAAGAGAGCTACATTAGAAAATACAGAAAAAAAACAACATATTAAAACAATATTATGATAGATAGTACATGTTAATGTAGAATGGCAGAATTAAGTTACCCTTTTCATCTTAAAGTTCCTGTCAGATAGATCAGCAGTACATTGTAGCAGATTAAGTTTTAGAACTCAAACTCACTATAGTTTTACTTTTACAAACTTTTGACACATTCTGCTTGTGGTATTACTATTATTTTTGTTATGTCTGTGATACTGTAATGCATTATGTTTATTAACAAAATATTGTTGCTATTATCCAAGGTAAGTTTATTTAAGGAATTATGTATGCTTAAAATCATAATCACCAATTGTTATATAAAAACCATGAAAACTGAAGCATATATCAATTTAATGTTACATCTGAAACTTATCCTGAGGTTTTCATATTGATAATCCCCCATATTTGTCTGGACAATAAATCCACATGTATTTAAAAATTTTATGTAATGTATATTATGTTCCTGTCACAACAGTGACCTTCCTAGTATGACACTTTTTTAACAATATTTTATTTATAAATATTTATATATATAATGTGGTTTCATTGGCCAGAAAACATGGGGAGACTATGTATCAATTTATTGTTAAATGAAATGTTGAGATTTCATGTTTTAAAAAACACTGTCACAATAGTACATACACATGAACTTAACAGACTGTTTAATGTGTAGATTAAATATTTCTAAGCTTCTGAATGTCCTCGAACAAATCAAGTTAGTAAAATTTGTTTTCCACTTATGTGAGATAAGAAATTGGAGTTAAACAGTAAATTAATGAATTGTTTTCTCAACATACAAGTACCATACATGTTATATTTGCTTATGGCATAAAATTTACTTATTCTGCTCTCAGGTGAATTTCAGTTTTTCCTCTAGATTATTTATTTGAGTTCCATTTTTATACATGTTTTTTGATAGAGTAAATAAATTACTTAAGCACAACAATTCAACCTAATTTTAAACTTCAGATGAGTGGAGCATTCCTTCATTGATTTACCAAAAACCTGAAAGCCTACAAAGTAAACTGAATATTAAAATTAGTAGGATTTTCAAATGATCAGTCAAATGAAGAATTTAAAAAATCTGAACATTGCTATGAAAACATGCTAATTGATTAACAAGCCTTTGTGTATGAAAAAGTCTGTAGGATAGATAATGAATATGTATAATAATGTATGCGTGCTTAATACAAGACCCCCGTTTTTTAATACAGACAATTTTGAGATGGCATTTGTGCTATGAGGCTCTGATAAATTACGTGACCCGATTTCATTACAAAGTAGAGATTTCTCGAAATGTTTTCAATAAACCAGATATATTTGAGTACTTACCCGGAAATCTCTCTAGATTTAAAAGGAGCATCTAGTTGATAACTTTTTGGCAAAACAGTGGGTACATTGGACCTTTTATTGAATTTTTGTGAAACACTAGTTTCATATGCATTTTGTCACTATACAATAGGCCCCGTACTAACGAACAACACAAATATTACTGTATTTGGTCTTATTTTATATTATTTTTTAGTTTATTGAATAACATCCTTCTTTCGTTAAATACCATATACCATAAAAGCTTTGACGTTGACTTTTGACAAATGGCAGATTAATCTGATTTAGGTTAGTTATCTGTAATACCGACACCGCATATCTAAATAGCAGGTATCACAATTGCCCTAAACTTCTCTAGTTTAACTATTCACTCATGGACAGAACCGCAAATTATGACGAGCGCTACAAGATTTTCATTTTATCAGAAAGTTTACTACTTATGAGCTATTTCTCTGATTTCCGTCCAATAAACGACCTAGGACGATAGAGATAGCTTTTGATCAAATAACTATAAAATTGTGTAGCGCCACCCAGGATTGAGTAGTTTAAAATTTATTGTGTTGGTATTACATGCGAATACTTTAATGTGTTTAAATGAGTTTGGATGCTATAGTTCAGGGCTGTCCAACATACGGCCCGCGAACTCCTTTCTTGCGGCCCGCTTCACGGGTTATGTATACATCACATGTATAAATTACTCTCAAATACCGAATATGCACAATTTTTACATTAACTCTGTAATAATGTTGTATAGAAAGATTTTATAATGCGGCCCTCCAAACTGCATTTTTTTTAAGTGGCCCTTGGGCCACATTAAGTTGGACAGCCCTGCTATAGTTTATTCGCTGAAACAAGGCAGTTACGTCATATTTAGTAAATTTGAATGCCAACCTTAATGCAAAATAGATCCTAAGTTTGAGGTGTCCTCTTAAGCATTTTGCTAAAATTCCGAAACCTTTGGGTCGACAATGAAAGAATTCGTCATTTCTTTGACGAAATATTTTGAGACTGAACGAGATAATGGAGCTCCATTATTGCCTTTACAGTCCGTAAGAGAGGTATTAGGATTTATACTAGCTTTAGTGTTTACAAAACATACGCTCCGTAATCTTGCCGGGGTAAGGCATCAAAGACATAGATTTTGTATAACGCCCTAGAATCTAACAGTTTTAATGTGGCAAGCAAATTCTTACCGTCATTATTTGACGTTACGGCTCTGATTCATTGAATAAACTATAGATACTGGTTTGAAATAGTTTTATTTCCTATTGAATCTTATCTTTTCTTCGAAAGGTAAACTTTTCTTAATACTATCCCTGAGCATCCAATCGATTGTTACTGCTATACAATGAAACATTAAATAATATGTCTCTAACGAAACTCTACATAGAGACCTCGATGTCCCTTACCTAAAGGACTACATTAAGCAACAGGCGCAGCGGCGCTATAGCCTAGCGGAATCGCACAGCAACCCTCTGTTGCGTGATTCAGTGGACTACACAGTCGAGCAAGTTCGCAAGCACAAAAGGCCGCGGCTCGCACTGTAATCAAAATTAACTCGTGAACTTAGAACAACCAAAATTGGAGCATTTTTACACAATCTTTAGAAAAAATCAAATATTTTTAGACCATATCAAAATCTGTGAAGCGATTTTAACAATGCCTAAATGCTGCATATCCTAAAAGATTCTCTTCTTCCCCTTTGCTCTCGTTCTTCCTTCTCTCCTTTCCTTCCCCTTTTTTCCTTAAAATTGTCTGGTTTCTGGGTTACCAGACCTGACAGACTTACAAACTGACACTGTGACTCAAGAGCTAAGGTCCCACGGACCGCTCTGACAACCAACGATGACTTGCGACATTAAATAATTTGGTACCTCTAACCTGACCTGATTTTACGTGCAATTTCTAATATGTATCCCTATAGTCAACGCCAAACAAAGTGGCGTGCACGTCATCAAGGTGGGTGTGTTGAAAAATTTACATTGTTGCCAAACTTTTTGTAAAATAATAAAATTTATTATTTACATATCTAGGTTTATAAGCAATATTAACCTCAAATGAGAACAAAAATAATAGTATAATAAAATTATAGATCTGTACTTGCATAATCATTAAGTATGACAATTATTGATCAGATGACACTATGAAACTACCATATTTAATTGATAGCTTAAAGGTACTGAATAAAAATCCAAATGGGGTCCTCCAAATTTTATGCATGGTATTTATTTTACAGAATTCATACAGAAAAATGCATTCTAAAATTAGGTAAGCTACTGGTGTAAGCTTTTTCTGTACAATAAAGTTAGTCGGAGTTTCTTTCTTCAGCGCTGTCTGAATCTGAATCTTCATCACTCTCAAAGTTGATTATTAAAGGTTCGATGTCTGGTCGATCAAAAATTCGTTCTCTTTCATACCATTTAAAAATTTCTTGCTCAGTATGTCGAACACTATTTTTCCACATGTCTGGGGTAACCGTTTGTAGAGCCTCGTTCCACATATCCAAACAGTCTTTTTCACTGTTACCATCTCTACCAATATGTCTGTTATAGTAACCTTTTGCTATGCCCCAAATTAACTCAATAGGGTTAAATATACAATGGTAAGGAGGCAGACGAAGAACTTTGTGCCCATGTTGTTCCGCCAATTCATCAATCACGTATATTTTAGGTGGTTTGTTTCTAAAAAAGCAGTTATTTTAAGAATAGGAATAAACAAAAGAAATATAAACTGTCGACCAAAATATATATAATTAAGAAGCATTATGTACCGAGCAACAATACTCAATAGCTCTGTTTTAAACATTGTGTTTAAAAATGGTATGTTTTGATTTGTCAACCAGTCTTGGATATTTTTTTTTGTCCATGCATTGTTGGGCACTTTGTTCAATATCATGCTGTGATAAGGGGCGTTATCCAGTATAATCATAGATGGACTCTCCAATTTTTCTAATAACTGGTGTTGAAACCATTTCAAAAAATTGTCCTGGTTCATCTCTCCATGGTAATCGCTCAATTTTGTTTTCGAAGAAAATATCGCTTCACTACCCTCAATAAACCCATTTTCATTTCCAGCATGTAATATAATGTATCTAAAATATATTAGTTTTAAATTTTATAGTGCAAATTGTGTAAAAGTACATACCTTTTACCATCTGTTTTAATAGCTTTCACGCTTTTTTGGTTTCCATTTTGCCAAGAGCGACCTATGGTCCCATTTTGAAATATCCAAGTTTCATCGAGGAAGACAAACTGGTATAAGGCCTCAACCTTGGCTTGATTGTATTGCCTTAGAAATTCCACCCTTTTCAAAGCTATACTTGGTAGTTCCATGAGCCCTCGTCGCGGATTGTCCTTAAGCCACTTAAATCCAAGATCTCTAAGCAACCGCCTTAAAGACGTGGCACTACCATCAAATAATGCCCTATCTCTTAATCGAGACCATAAAGTTTGTATCGTAACTTGTTCTTCTGAAACCATGTATAATATGACATTATAATTTAGTTAACAAATTAATGCAAATTTCTGATAAGTTATTATAATAAGATCTTACTTTTGTGATACATATTATAGATCACTTCTCGAATGGCACTTGTATCCAATGTCGCTGTGTTGGTTACACGTTTAATATAACTCTGCTTTTTCTTGGGCGATTCTAAATTTGCATCACTTTTCACACCCTCGGAAATACGACTAACTGTCCTTAAACTAATTTTTAAAGCAGCAGCAACACGCTACAAAAAATGAAATAAAATTTCACTATTATTAATATACATTACATATAATTATTAGTAACCTACCTCTTGAACAGCATTTAAAGGCAACAAAGGCCCGTTGTTGTCCCTTTCTTGCTCAAAGTAGTGCATTAACGAGGCCACGAGTTCCTTATACCGACTATTTAACTGTTTGGGCATCTTTATATACCAAAATTGCCTTTATCTACTCGGAAAATGAATAATTTTGTTTTGAAACAAACAGTTGTTGATTTACAGTATGCGGGGCCAAAGGATTTATAAAAATTTGAAATGCCACATATTGATTCAGTGTCAAAATTAATACAAATGTCAGTTCCCAGTTTAAATAAGTTTCAAGGTGACAATGTGTCAACGCTGCAAAATCGGTTTAGTGCGTTTACATGTCGATAAGTGATTGGAGCGTTTGCAAAACATTTTATTTCGCATAATGCGTCTAAATTTATCAGAAAGCAACTTATGTGATATTTTAATAACAATGTTTATATGACTATTAACCATAATAAGAGAGTAATGACCATTTTACAATTTATATATCACACTAATATGAAACTGCAATAGAGCAATTGTTTGTGATAGAAACCTAGGCATTAGGTCGGGGAATTTTTATCGTGATGACGTGCACGCCACTTTGTTTGGCGTTGACTATAGTTTAATTTCCGGCAATTGAAGAAATAATGTACTGAAACCACATTGGCTTTACTTACATACAGGACAAGCTATTAAAAGCCCGTTAAAAAGGCACCTTCAATTTTATAGTCCTTCTCAAACAACTGAAACCCAAAATCTGGTATGAAATAATTTATTCAAAAATACAAACACAGCACATTATACTAGATACAATGTAATCAACATCTATGATTAATCCAGATGGCGACGGCGCGTTTTGACGTGAAAACTTTCATTTTAATCCAGCAATATTAATTACAGAAAAAAAATTGAAAGAAAAAAATTATACATTCCATATCATGTTCAGAGCTCAGTAATGAAACACTGTTATGACAGTTTATAAATGAAGCTTTATTAAATATTCAAATACTTATCATAAATAATACACCCTATATGAATAGGCGGTGCGTTGACGTTGAGTAGAGACAGTAGACAGTCGTAAGAAGTATGATCGATAGAGAATCAATATATTGTAATATTGTTGTATTGTCTTGCTGAGTGGCGCGCTATTGACGGTCGGTAGCGCGCAGCTTCTCCTCTACCGCTTCTTGACTTGCCTCTGATAAATCTGTGGCTTGGATGTACTTCTGTACGCCTACTAGGGATTTTTTTAGAGCGTCGAACGAACTGAAACAAACAACACATTATCCAGCAAGAATACTAAATTACTTTATACAACACATCCCATGCATATGTCATTTTCCTTTCCAGAGTTAAGGTATTCCACCTAAACATACTATACCATTTATTGACCACATTATGTATACGGGGTGTCCCAGAAGTCGACGTCAAGCTGGAAACGGGGGATAGGCCAAGTCATAATAGTTATCAGAAAAAAATAAAAAACCTAAGTAGGGTACATTCCAAATTATAGGCTTAAAAAATCGGAAGAATCTACACCCTGTGATAATTTTTTAGTTCCCATTACTATAAATTTCAATTTATATGGACTGTTATTCTACGTAGTGACAGCAAGACAGATAGTAGTGTTACTTTTATTACTTCGTGAATGTAAATTCACGATAATGTTCAAAGCAATGCAAGCTTGACATCTTAAAAATTATCGGGTTATCAGACGGCCGAATTAACAAACTCTGCTGCTTCCGTTATGCTGTCCAATAGCTCAGCTAAAGTTTCGACTGGCCTTGATGAAACTTTCTTTCACCGCTCTCCAGTAAAAAAAAAACGAGTGGATTCAAGTCAGGTGAACGGGCTGACCACGAAATTATATCAGAGCGCCCCATCCATCTGCTCGGGTACTCCGCATCAAGATATTTTCTAACTGAACGGGCATAGTGCGCTAGGCAGTCGTCTAGCTGGTACCACATTCTTTGTAAATGCTTAGTGGCACGTCTTCAAATAAATTTGGTAAGTGATTTTGTAAAAAGTCTAAATAAGTTTCGCCATTCAAAAACTCAAAGGGAACAATGTTTCTCCCATTTAGAATTTGGTCCATATGTTTAAAACGATACTGTGATCATCAAATGTGGATTGTCTACATGCCACTCGCGTAAGTTGTGTAGACTCATGTAATCATCTTTTTCAAATCTCGACTCATTAGTCCATAAAATTTACTCTAAAAATCACGGATCTTCCTGGTGTCTCTGCAACATTGTTTGACAAAATTCAACTCTTGGAAGATAATCCCGAGGTTGTAGCGATTGCACTCGCTGTACCTGGTACGGCCGGAGCTCGTTCTTTCGCAAAATTCGGCGGACTCTACTTTTGGGCACTCCCGTGCTTGCTTGTATCTGACGTACCGAAGTACTCGGGTCTTCTTCGATTGCTTGTAGTACGACGTCCTCGTAAGCAATGGAAATTATTCCTTCACCATGTGCGTGATATGGGAATCGTCCCTCCGAAAGTAAATGGAGCACATTCACAAAAACTGGGTGATCAGGATGACGAGCAGAATTTAGGTACCTCTCACGATAAAGCCTAGCTACAGCACTAGCACTGCATCCACATTTCCCAAAAATCAGGTGCACGCTGGCGTATTTCTGAATTGAGTACAGAGACATGGTGGCACTACACTATCATAAATTAATGAAAGTGGCATTTCTATCTGTCTTGCTGCTACTATGTAGAATGACACTATCCGTCACTCTGTCTTAGAAAAAATTGAAATTTGTAGTAATGGGAACCAAAAGATCATCACATGGTGTCGATTTTTCCGACTTTTTTGAAGCCAGTTATTTGAAAAGTACACGAGTTAGATTTTATTTTATATTTTTCTGATTATTATGACTTGGTCTATCCCCCGTTTCCGGCTTGATGTCGACTTCTGGGACACCCTGTAACAGTTTATTATCTCTAACCGTGTGATTTCATAGCATCAACGTATTTCTGACGGAGCCCGCCTGACCCTGTATACTACGTGTTTTGTGATACAATGTGCGTCAGTATGGAAATCGCTGCGCCGAGTGTAAGTTTAGTAATGTTATTTACAAATCGGATTTGAAAAACAGAAATTTTCCTAGACGTTTCTTTCTCGACATGGGTAGGTCTTATATTGTACAAACGCCGTCGAAATTAACACAGTAGAAGTCTCAGACAGTCCGGAATCTTGCAAATTTAGGAAGAAGTTGTGCTTTGAACCGAATGCCAACAACTTCAAACATTAATATTTACGAGCATGTGATAGGGCAGTACCTGAAATTTCTTTTTATTGCTGATGTTTTTTTCGCATATTAGCCTTGTTATTTCAAACTTAGTTGTTTCGGAAAAGAGAAGTCTTGACCTTAAGGACATCCTGTAGAACCCAAGGAAATAATGTCACAAGTTTTCACGAAAAAATGTTCTACACAATACTGCTGATAGTTTTTACACCATCAAAGAGTGTATTTTTAAAAGACTAATGCTTTAGTTTAGGAAAACGTATTCTTGTTGGAGTCCAATAAAATGAGCCATGTTTGAAATAACCAATCTTGAATCAATGCAGTTTCTATTAACGTACAATGCAGTCATTTCTCAGAAAGTCTGAAATCTAAAACATTATTGACAGAATTACTGAATTTCCAAAGTGCTGGGACCAAATCAATGTACTGGAACAAGTTTTTTTCTTAAAAAAACAGTCCATTTATTGATTGCAAACAAGAGAACATTGTTTTATCTTAATCAGGTCATAACTTTATCACTGAGCCATTATGATACAAACTTTAAAAAACAATGCATTGGGGTTAGCCCTTCAATAGCTATTTAAATATATTTCCCCAGTTGAAGAGCATCAGTGAAAATGTAACTTTATGAAAACAGACATTATTTTTGTGAAACCTTTAAAGTACCCCCTAGTTGACTGGACTTTAGAGACATACGCGGAAGCGTACGCAATTTAGTTTAGTATCAAAAGAGAATCGTCACTTTGAAATTAAAATTTTTCCTAACCTCAAATATCCTGCAACACCCCACCCCTCCTTGAACTACTCTCTAAAGCTCTTTGGTTTAGCTTCCACAGCTTAGCTTTCTTACGGGAAACAAACGTTATTCAACTATTTAATAAACGAATCATAAAGAGCACCATGATTGAGGGGAATATAATTATGCTTACCTAGAGTACAACATCTTCTTCTTAACTTTGGCGGTGTCGGGACACCATGACATTAAGAACAGTTTCTGTTTCTTGGAAGATTCTGAGGTGCCTTGGCATTGGTGCATGTACTCGAAGTCGTAAAGTCCGTAGCGGCACTCTCCTGCTCCACCGGCCTAAAAACAACACATACATTATTTAAAACAAAAACAATATACAAAACCACATGAATGAAGTAACAGATTTCCCCAAACGCAAATTTGACTTTTTTAAGTCTCACATGCGGTTTGTGTCCTGTGACTACGAAAATGGCGTCAAGTAGATTGACTCTATACTTCTACGCCTTCATTGGAGATTTCAAAGAAAAGAGATGGGTCAAGATATTTCAAAAGGCGGAATCGAATGGCGTCAAGTAGATTGACTCTATACTTCTACGTCTTCATTGGAGACTTCAAAGAAAAGAGATGGGTCAAGACATTTCAAAAGGCGGAATCGAATCGTGACTAGGTAGGTACACTTAGGTATGATGAATCTAAGAACACTACATATCAAACTACATAAAATAAATCATATTTCTGTTTGCCTGACAGATGTAGGGAAAACCTGTGTGAATCATTAGGTCTAACAGCTGCATAATATTACCAGGATCAGCAGTTTGTTAATAAAAGAAGGTCTTTCACTGACACCAAACATGCAACAGTTTATAATCATTTACCGCATGCAGCTTGCAACCTACAATATTTAACTGTTTCAGCTATTTTTACTTTCTTGTCCGTAGTTCCGCCACCACTGAATCAATTTTCAAAATCTACCACTACCCAAACGATGAAGTATTGAACTCGATAATATTCGAATCTCAGTTCACAAGTCTTCTGTTGCTTAAAGATATCTGCATCACACAAGCCCGTGTTTCTCATTTATGTCGGTTTGTCAAGCCGTGTCTGTTATATATCAATGCTTTATAAGTACTGAGCCAATCTACTTGATGAAATAATCAAAGAACCATCATATACTGAGTAACATAAATTATAGGTTAGAAGTTACAAAAGCATGGCAGAAGAAATGGTACGTACTCCTAATTACCCTAATATATGCATTCCCCTGCACTGGTGTGTCCGTATCGACATCGCCGCAGTACACCAGTTCGAATTAGTTACCTATTGCACTTGCCACAACCGACTGTGGCTTTCACGATGATGCAGAGACGCAACATTGTGAAGGGCACGCTAGTCCAACGATTCCAAGTTATTTCGAATTACGGGCATATTATACATCGGAATTTTATCATTTAACTTTTCCGTGTTCACCGGGATCAGAAGCCTTTTCGTCCTAAATTACTTCTGTATACACAGTTTAATTCGCTTCTACCAACAGCAGAGGAAAATGAAAATTTTACATTGTAATACTTGTAAAGTATTCTAAACTTTTCAAAAAATTCTTGGGTAATCCTGATCTAGACCTTCTGAAGCATAACTAAGCACCTTCAGAGAAGCAGATCATGGAAATGTTCGTAGAATACATTTCTCTGGTCCTAATTGAAAAAATAGAAATTCTGGGCTTCCAATGCAACAAATCAATTTTAGTACCATTGTAATTTAAATGGAATCAAGACTAAGTCCCTAGAATGGTGGAACAGCAAAGGCAGAAAAAAGAGTTCACCAAAGAACGAAGACCCGCATCTACGGAGGATCTACTTGGATTTAATAGGAAGGCCATAGGGGCCACGAGGGTCTTATGACAGGACACTGTCGCCTAAATCGAAATTTGAGGTTCCTGGGTCTGGCAGAAGAGAGGCCGTTTCTGCAGAGATCATGATGAAAAGTGCATCTCCTGCGTCACTGTGAAGGCCCAGCAAGGTAACATTTAATAGTAGGAATCACAAATCCGACAGTGGAAAGCTACAGACAAGGCACTAGGTCAAGGCCATGAAGTCTGATTAAAGGATTAAGACTGGTCACAGTACTTTAGAAAGGTTAGGAGATCTATAAATTAAGTGATGAGACTTGCAATGTAGCATTCAATCTGGCAAAACACTAAAGGCACCGGAGACAGGGACACATGTAATCCGCCTTCAGTACAAGTTTGAACTCGCTCGAGTCATTTGCTTGTCCGTAACAATTTTTTTGTGAAAAGGTTTTTTCTATTGTGTTCTCAAAATGAGTGACACCAATGTTTGCTATCAGGTTTTGATTCACACTTGAGCATAGTGCAATGGAAACTTTTGCTAAACCGGCCTAGAATCCAGGTTTTTCGGTGGTTTCAATCATTTTCAGAAGGGAGAAAGTTGATTAAAATTTAAGTACGAAACGGAAGGCCTTCATCTTCAAGAGCCGATGAAAATATCGATAGAATCTGGGCTCTTGTGCGTTCAGATAGTCGATTGACAGTCAGAATGAACAAGGAAGAGTAAAATTTGATTCACAGCACCGCTCATCAGATCAAGAACAACAGGGTCTTGCATAACAATAATGCTCCATGTCACAAGCAAGCCAACCCCCCTTTTGTAATCAGCAATCTTCGCACAACACTCTAGTTAAAAGTTACGCGAAAATCTAATCAAATATCAATCAAATTGACTCACCTGCAAGTCAGTCAGGAACTTGTCATATTCCTCGTCTCTCGCCCCTACGACTTCAACGTCGATCTGTCGCTCATCCTTGATGTAGAAAATGACGTATCGATGCTTTTTATCTTTCTTTATTTCTTCGTACGTCCGCTTGCAATCGTCAGACACGGTTACGCCAGACGCCTATCAACAAAAAAAAAAACACTTTTACAAATATGGCAACGCTTGATTTCTTCTCTCATTTACGCTATTTTCACATCTTATACCATATTACACAGCGGTGTAATATGTTGGGTCCGCGCATCGATTTTATTATGCAAAGAGCTGAGTGTACACCCGATTTCACAAGTATCCATTACGTTTTAATGTCTACTGAGGTGACCAGCTGATCAGCAAGTGGCATCTTCGTATTATTCGGTAACTTTGAAAATAGTAATGTTCAAGCATCACATTTTCAGCGGTTTGACATCCGATTGTTGTTAAAAGACTAGTTCAAATGGTTTTAAATTTGATTCTGCTAAAACACATTTTTGTGACAGCATCATATTGCAGGTTTAGATGAAATTCCACGTTTATTTCTTCATTGTTAGGCCACTGAATTACAGTTCCACATATACTTGAAGAAAATCTATCTGCTACATGACAAAATATTTCATGTCCTGCAAACCACAAAAAGATTAATGTTAGCTCATAAGCAATAAAGTTTCCCATTGCCTCCAGTCACCTTTTGGAAGAACATGCTGTGTTGGTCGTATTTAGTTGAGATATATTCAGCTACTATGCGAGTCACTCTGAAATGTTCCATGAATTCACTTCCATTGTAAAGAAGCACCGCTACTTTTTTTATTATAAAGCAGTATGTGCAGAATATGTTTTCATCATTACTCGAATCGATACCTGAGATCGCAATCACATTCTGAACTTGAGATATAAGAATCTAACATTTCTACGAGCAATACAACACAATAAAAAACTAGTACACACCAAATTTATAAGTTAACTGGCCTCAATCTTTTCAAATGATACAAACTATTCAGTTGTAACAAAACTCAAGCTCTCCAATACAATTCAATAGCCATAATCCCAAATCGTAAGGCACTCGCAACCAGTTTTCAAACAAAAAATTGGTTTGCTGAAACAGCGGACTTGTAATCCCCAACTAGGTTTTACTCTTGCTTGAGCATGTTTTCTCCACTGGTTTCAAACAGTTGGAAACGTGATACTTGAACATTATATATTAAATTACTTGTTTAAAGCTCGACTGTAAATATGCTTGTAGAGTTTTTTTTATGCGAAGATACTTATCTAAATAAGAGTTGTGAGCAAGTACAAAATGAAACCGTAGCGGTCAAAAAACCACAACAAAATACGGCTGTTTAGCTGGCGTTGACGGATCCATCAGAATTGTGACACTTGCCAACATGGGGAATTTTGAAATATTATTAGATAATCAGCTGTTATTTTACCGTAATAGATACTCGCGAAAAAGACCTAAGCTCCATGGTAAATTAGAAAAATTTAATTTTCGTTATAATTATGGATCAAGGTTAGCTCCGCTGATCTATTCATCATTGTCTGTCAGAGCGGTCCGAAGGAGTTTTGCTCTTAGTTATTCAGCCGTTCTTTTTGGACTGTGATGTGGGTCAGACATTCTCTGTTTGGACTGTTTCACTTCACTAACAAAACGGAAGAAAATTTTTACAATCAGAAATATGATTGTTTAAAACATCAAGGAAACCCATTTATGTGAAGAATAAAGTTTTTGTTTGTCTACTACAACATGCTTTTCCAGCAAAAAAATTCTTATTTTATTCAAGTACGTACTGTTTACATATCCCATTTTTCTGATATTCATATTCGCATGAATTTCGCGAATGCGGATTCCAATATCATATCATTATTATAGAACGAATCTATTCAATTTCTATAACACCACCTGTAAACACGACCTCTATTTTTAGATTTGCGATTATTTAACCGACTGGGTTCTATTTTGAACTGTTATTCATAAGATGTTTTCATTGTCCACCTGTCATAAATACAAAACTTGCTAGTGGATTTGCTTGGTTGGTCGACTTCTACAAGTTTCTCAATGAATTTACTACTGCATATCCATACTATCCATATCCCTACTAATATTACAAATGTGAAAGTGTGTATGTATGTTTGTATTTTAAGTTTTCACGCCAAATCAGCTGAACGGATTTTGATAAATTTTTGTAGAGAATTTAGGATATTACAGAATACAGCCTAAAAGTAGGAGTATTATTTTTCTTCAATTTTATCTTAAAAATAATTATTATTAATAAGGAGTTTAAGAAATGATATCCTCAAGACGGGGGTGGAGGGGGTTGAATATATCTTTGGGAAACTTTATTACTTTTAGAGTCGCAAGTTTGAAATTGCTTGGAGTTTCCTGATATCTAAAAACGGCAACGATGAGGTACTGTTTGAGTAGACAAACTAAGAATGGATTGTGTAACCAAAAATTTAGTAGAGGTAGCGTATACAATATAAATGTTTAATTTAAAATGCTAATTTCATAAAATTGGTAATATTGTTAATCCGCCTTGCCATTTTACCCCCACTTATAGGTGGCTCCATTAAAATAATAACATTTCCATTTCCCAAGTATGCAAGTGGACTGTCAATTTATTAATGCAATGGAGTTATTGTAATAGTTAAAAACAATGTTATATGATAGTAGTAACAATTTAACGCGTACGAAGTCGCGGGTAATAGCCAGTTTCTTCTAATTAAAAAATCCTTGAATGTTTGGAAGCATCAAAATTTAAAGATCTGAAACGGAAGTTTTTCATATCTTATACTTTTTTTTTGGCGTTTAGACAGTCTAAAATGTGGAATATTCAAGGTACCAGTACTCCTAGTGTAATAGTAGTAGTAGTAGTAGTAGTAATATGTTTTTTTCGGTGCTCATATACTGTTTAGCATATAGTCAAAATCACGAAAGATGGCATTACGTCATACCCTAAATTGTACTGAAGTAATCAATGGACGTACGTCGATGACAAAACCACGATGTCAGGAACATATCTAATGACAACAATACATATACATTATTTTTCGTATATAGTCGAAATCACGAAAGATGACGATGACATTTTAGCCTGTAGTAAAGACAAACGTCAGCAATTTGTGAATATTTTTGATGAAGTTTCAGATATGTTAGACAGAGACAAACAGAATTTTATTGTCTAAACAAACTGTATTGCTAATTTGCATGAATCCGACAAAGATAGACGATGTTTTCATGTTGCATGATCGATCATATTTGAAAGACGAATAGTTAGGTTATGTTAAAGTAGGTTAGGTTGTTTTCTAATAATACTTTGGTCTTTGGTGTTCCTGTCTTAAGGTATTCTACACATAACTTTTTTTTCAAAACAAAAACTCTCCACTAAAATTATTATCAAGGCATCACTCAAAACCATGAAATAAAATGAAAATAAAAATAATCAGTGAAATAATCTAACTTCGCAAATCATAATATGAATTTATTGTCATTATGTTCTTGACATCGTGATTTTATCATCGACGTACGTGCATTTATTGCTTCAGTACAATTTATGGTATGATGTAATAGTCATCTTTAGTGATTTTGACGATATGTAGATTGAAGGCATGTTCGTGTCTGTTTAGTTATGTCTACAGTCATCTCTATATTTTAAATAACACTACACGAAGTGCACGTCAATCTGAGCCTTGTCCCCAATGTGGGAAGTATAGAGAAACATTGATTGAGCCCATTATTTGTTGTCGATTCATCCCCTTTGTAGATTATAGACTCTTTTGTAAAAGGTCCTTCAAACTGCACGTAACGTCGGATTTTCCTTATTTATTGTTTCCACATCCGCGGTTCGATCTGAGATTATAAACGAGGCAACGCCCCCTATTTATAAACCATAAGCTTGATATTAATCCAATCACCACGTACTGAGTTGATGATGATACATTGATATATTTGTACTCGTATGAAACGTATGATTCACCATCGATCGATAAATCGATATGATCGATTACGCCAATACTCGTAAACGTGAACACAGAATCCTTTATAACTGTAAATGGCGGAAAAAAGCTATAGCGCGTTTGTGTGTCTACGTCGTTTCCTGCGAAACAGGAAATCGACAGTAGGTATTGTGAAATTAACATGTCTTTCTTTCACTTCAGAATTATCGACTCAGGCACAGTTACTTCTTCAGTTCAACAATTTGTATGGCAAGGTTGGATGCCAAACTAATATTTTAAATTTTGGATAATAACAACACAAATATTTTCATAAGGTTATCTGACCAATAATTGATATTATTTGATGAGATGCTGAATTTTTCAGCACAAACTACAACTGATGTATCGTTTTAATGTCCAACAAACTGATTTTACTTCCCACGCCTACTGACGGGTAGCATTGTAATCGTGAAAATTTCCGAAACTAAGAGTATGTTTTTTGGATGTTATTTGCGTCCGTCAGTCAGTCCGCTAATCTTATAACCGTTTTTTTTCCATAGAAGTTTTGCGTATTAATCATTAATTTCAACCCACTTACTTTAGATCTTAAACATTTATCGGCATGAAAATTTATAGTAGTGCTTATACAATATTTGTACTATAGAAACATGTAAATCATTAGGGTATCATAACAGGCTAACAACAAGTAGGAGCAGCACGTTTATAGTATAAACATAGATTTATTTCATTTGTCTATTTAAGATCTTTCATTTTAAAATCTACCAGTGCAATACATCTACATAAGGTTACGTGTAAGAGTAGCTTTAAGCTAAACCTCGGCTTTTTGTAGATAATGATAATAAATACGATTATAATAAATAATATTATTATATTATTAATTGTATGAACCCGTTTAAATGACTTTTTTCCAGTGCTGAACATATTCCTTTATGAGCTGATAACGGCATTGTGAGGAAAATGCAGAGTCAACCTACTTGAGGCCATTTTTTACGCCAGGCATTATATTACCTAATATTGTTAAAGATTGCAGCAGTATTTCATAACTATTCAGTTTCCAATAAAGATAAAAAACATATGAAATTTGGCAATTGTGAAAAAAGCTTAACCCGTACGAACAAAGGGCCTGTATGCCCAATGTTGATCGGACAAAGACAAAGAAATAAAAAATTGGCACAATATCAGTATTTAATCGT